AAGAGTTGGGGTCCCTACCCCAGATCAGACTATGACCAAGTTGACCCAGATCTATGAATCTGGAAAGCTCTAGAGCACCTCAGGGATGTCTGGTAAGAAATAACATCGCTGTTGACTGAAGTCTGCTGGGTGGTTTTTTTTCAGCTTTCGTCTTTACTGATACTTTTCTGAAATGTTTCAGCTCTCTTGGATTAGAGATGTCTGCTGAAAGTACATATCATTGAAAAGCTTCTGATCAGAAACAACTAAAAATTATGTTAATGTGTTTGAAGTTTTCAAATATGATATTGTTTGGGTGAAGGAACCCACAATTACAACCAGCATGATATTTTTTCTGTAATTACCCAATAGAATGGGGAAGTTTATAGGTGCTAGAAGGCATTTCATGAGAAGGGAAGAAGAGACAAGTGTGACAGCCTCTCAGTGATGTCTGATTTGGCTTCCGACAGATAGTTTTGGTACAGATACTTAAAATTCTCATTTAACTATTTACCAATTCTGCAGTTTTCAAGTGTATTTTTTCTTATTGTAAATCATCTTATTTTAGAAATATTAAGAATATTTTCAAATATTAAAAAATTTGAAAAAATTTTTTTCAAAAGTGGATTTGTGCTTTCAGCTCTCCAAATCCAACTGGAATGAAAGATCAATCATGACAGAATTGTAATCATATAGTGCAACTAATTGTGAAGTTGAGGGGTTTGGACAACTATTACAGTGAAGTTGTCAGTTTATTTTTATGAAGAGAGAACAATCTGATGGATTCTATTGTTTTTGGATTGAGGGTTCTTTCATTAAGTCTTTCCTCAAGTGGAAAAGTAAAGGATTGCCTTACTTTTAGTGGGCTTTTTTCTGTTGAGCAATTTTCGTAAAAGATCTCTCCACAGTTTAGTTAGTTGTATCAGTACTTAGTATTTCTGTAGCTTTTTCATCACAGACTGCAAGGTCTCAATAAAATTCTTTGCAGGTGTCCTGTGTTTACTGTTGGGTGAGCCAGCTTGCAGAGCATAGGAGCACTTTCCTTGGGGAAGTACAGGGTGTCAAAGGGAGAGTAAGAAAAATAATAGCTTCACATGGCTGAGAGGTGATTAATGGAGTCTGTTGGGAACTCCCCAGTGTCTCCAAGAGGGTGATAACCTTCACCTTGGGAACATGTTCAGTGTAGGTATTTTGGCAGGCTGAAAATCTTGGGGCAAAGCCAGTTGCTGTGTTCTCTGGTGATGTAGAGGAGGCCTAGGAGAGCAGAGGGAAGGGCTGCCAGGTCAGAAACTTGGCCTACTTTTCCCTTTGCCCGAGTTTCACGTTGAGATAGTAGCAGATAAAGGCTTGAGTCAGGCTGTGTGTCTGGTATCCAGCTGCACAGCGAACGGGAGCGTTGGTGCTGTGCCGGTGACTCAGTGGCAGCTCGGTGCTGGGTGCCGGCTGGCACTGTCCTGCTGGCACTGCCCTGCTGACTGGCACTGTCCTGCTGGCACTGCCCTGGTGCATGCATGCACAGCTCTGAGAGCCCCGGCTGCAGAGACACCGCCTCTGCTTGTCCTCTGTGCAGCCACCAGGATCAAGGCTCCTTCTGCCCACCTGGGTGGATGGTTTGCTGGTTTGCTGACTTTGTGCATATAGACATTTTCAAAAGATAGCAAGTTGCTCAGGTGCCAACAGGCTTTGAAATAAAGAACATAACTGGTTTTATAGAACATTGACTCTTTTAGCATAAGAGACTCAGTTTTAAAAAAATTAGCACAATCTGTATCTTTTAGACTTAAGTCTTGTTTGACTGACCAAAAACCTCCACAGCAGATGTTTAAACGTGATATGTTCTTTTTTACTGCAGAAAGGGAAAGATTCTCAGTGATGTGATTTTCCCTCAAATGTTTTAATACAGAAATGGTTGCTAGTTGTTTACCATATTTTAACCTAAGGATTGGTAAGACAAGTTTCCATTTCAAGGATGTAAGGTCTGTAGGCAGTAGGAACAAGGAAGAGCTATGTGCTAAAGGAATCTCCACCCTCAGGTAAACATATGACATGGCTGCAGTTGAAAAGCACATGATCCTGTGCTTGCGCTAAAAAATATTCCTTTTGCCCTCAAAGCAGTCGTGTGGGGCAGCACCCAGTATTTACAGGCTCAGATAAACCCAATATCCTCTTTCTCTGTCCCTGAGTCATGCAAAGTCCAGGAACATGTGGCTCAAGACAGCCTATGTAGAAGAGTATGGGGTTTCATTGAGCAACATGGGTTTTTTTTTGGTGGAGGAGAGAAGACGAAAAACAGCACAGAAAGTGGGCTATATATGAGAGAGTAGTGAAAGGAAAAATATAAAGGATGGTCTTTTCTTGCTTCTCATCTGTACATCTTTGGTGTGCCTCGACTACCACACCAAAGAGTTACACATGAGAAGCAAGAAAAGACCATCCTTCACATGTTTAAACTTACTATTAGAAAGAGTCTGGAGGAGAGAGAAAAGTGGAAAGAGAGGACATACCAACGATGTGGCAGAAGACACTGTAGTCCACCGGGTAAAGCTGCCTGGCTCCTGGTGACCAGCTCCGGTCCCTGCCCAGCCCACATGCCCCAGTGAATCTTTGCTGTGCACCCTGGGCTCTCTGGCTCCAGCAGTCTCCCCATTGGTACACTCTACCCAGGGCCTGAGTCCCGGCTTAAAATAGCACGTGAACTTCTCAGAAAGGGGTTGGGTGCCCAGGTGTTTGTGCCCTGCCCAGCCCAAGGGAGTCTTGATTGAGGCTCTGTACTCCAAGCACTACTTTAAAGCAAAAGTAAATAATGTTACATACAACAGGACTCAGACACAAGATTTTGAGCAATAGCTCAGTCCCATATTCAGATTATTTTCCATCTTAAAGTACTCCATCTAAATGGTGTTATGGTGGAAAATGGGAATTTTTCTTTGACAGATTGCTTTGACTTATGAGTAATGAATGAACATATACAGGAATATGAAGTCCAGAAGTTAGAGGAAATTAAACCCATTGCTTTCAAATCTTCCCATGGAAATTTTCTCCTCTGCATGACAAAATTCCGTAACATTGGAATCTTCCTCTCACTGCAACCCAGCATATCCTAGTGGCTGTGTTTTCTTTGACAGATACTATTCCGTTTGTTGTAGCTTTATGTGAAGCAACTAAACAGGATATTGTGTAGCTTGTACAGTAGAAATCTAGGCGGATTTTCTTTATCTGGGTACTTCTCTTGGTGTAAAACATCTGTATCTGCCTGTCCCTGAAGACATGATCCCAAAACTGCTCAAGTCAGTAGGAGTCATTTTGTTCTGCTGGCCCAGGGCCAGAGTCAGTAGGCACAATATAGCTTACTGTGTTGCAGCTTCACGCCAATAGAAAACTGTGTTGAATTCCCTCTTATAAAGTCATTAATACTCTTTACTTATATTTTAATTATATCTTATTTAAAATTACAGACTAGACTTATTCTCTGTGTAAATGAAAAAATTATACCATGTTCCTGTTTGACTTAATAATTTTTGTCTGGCTCACTTATGACCCATCCCAGTACACTCCTTTGTTCTGTTACACTTATTTATTATTGCTGTAGCCACAATCAGGTTATCTCCTTTCTTCTTGCTAATACCTGATACTCCAGACTGTTGATCTCTGGCCCTAGGGAACATCATTTCTAATTCCTGAGTGCAGAACCTGCTGTGATAAGAGCAGCTATTGTTTGTGTACTGACACTGCAATTCCCTTTACCAGGAAAAACCTGTGGTGGGGCAGGAATAATCTCTTGCATCATCTACCATGGATCACTGTAACTACAATGAATCCAGTCACATTATCGAAGCCAGGAGTGAGAGGGGAGAAAAATTGTGTAGATTTCAGATCAGCGATATCCACATTATTTTGTGCTCTGTAACTTTAGGAATGTGGAGTCAGGCTTGGTGATACACAATTTTCTACAATCCCTTGGAGGTGCTGGAGAGGGACAATGAAATTGTCAGCATGAATTTTAGAAATTATAATATTTTCTTATGCAGTTAGTCCTCAGCTGACTTTTTCATATCCCTCTTCATCCACCTTACCCCAAGGGCACCAGAGCAGGCACATGATGCTGTCCAGAGGGAGAATTTCCCCTGTCTGTCGTTGACAGCGTTCAGCCATCCAGATAGGCCATGGCTGGGCACAGTGAGGTTCTACACTCTTAAAAGCACACGTGTCCATTGCAGATTTTTGCCAGGCCTCTCTTAACAAAGCACTAATACATTTGTTTTGGAAGTTTTCCTTTTCTTTTCCTTGCTCGCTCATTCCTTACTGCTGCTGCTTGCAAAACTATGATAAAATGTTTGATGATTTTCTGAGCATGTGCTCCACAAACCCTCTGAATCAGTCTTATCTTTGCAATGGCACATGCTACATATGATCAGACTGGTTTCATATAAGTTGACTGTGTTACAGTCAATGAATATGTGTGTTTTTCTACTGTGTTTTGTGTATCTTCTACATAATAAAGACCACATCAAGTCATTAGCAAAAGCTTAAATCCTGCACTGAAGAAAATGGCTAATTAGTTGTAAAATTTGTTTTTCTTGTCTAAGAACTTCAGGTATGTTTGTGATGCCAGAGCATCAGCATTTTTATCCTGCTTTGGAATCAATGAATTCTAGTCTGTGTGTCTGATCAATAAACTGTGTAAGTCTCTCACTGGCTACATGTATGTGGAACACCTGGCACCACAACCCCTGATTTCAGCTTCAGTAGCTGTGAATATCAGATTAGGGTGAGATTATATTTGCATAGGTAAAAGCATTTTTAAACCTCTCATATTCCTTTAACATACAGCCCATTTTATTGCTATTTATAGTTGTTGTTTTTGTTAGGCACTGAGGTCCCAAAGTGTTTTATTTATGCAGATATAAAATTATTTTGTCTCGAGGGTTTGTTTTTATTTCCTAATTTTCTGTGGACAACCCACATCATACTTTGCTCATTCAGTGATTTTGTATCTGAGGTGTTTTTTCTTCTCTTTCCAGATGCAGAGAGAAATTGCTTATACGGGACGAGATGGCCCAAGTGGTTCCCGCCCTGGATCTGCCACACACCCTCTGCATGCGATGCCCAGCTCTCCCCCCTCCACCCCGGTGCCCCACTCCATGCCTCCCTCTCCATCCAGGATTCCCTATGGTGGGGGCCGGCCCATGGGCGTGCCAGGCAATGCCACCATCCCCAGGGACCGGCTGTCCAGCGTGCCAGCCTCGCGTTCCATATCGCCCAGCCCAAGCGCCATTCTGGAGAGACGGGACGTGAAGCCAGATGAGGACATGAGTAACAAAAACCTTACCCTGATGAGAAATGAAAGCCTGTACGGTGACCCCTACTTGTTTCACGAGGGGAGGATGAGTGTGGCTGCACCGCACCCCGGACACCCGCTCGATGTCCCCGATCACATTGTCACCTACCATCGCAGTGCCATGAGGTCATCGAGCACTTACTGCAACCCCTCCATGCAGCCCGAAATGCTGGAGCAGTCCTTGTACAGACAAAAGTCACGGAAGTACCCGGAGAGCCATTTGCCCACTCTCAGCTCTAAAACACCTCCAGCCTCACCCCACAGGGTGGCTGACATGAGAATGATTGATATTCATCCTCACCATGGCCCTCACATTCCCGCCCACACCATCCAGCCTGACAGGTCTTCCCCCAGCCGCCAGTCGTTCAAAAAGGAGCCGGGAGCGCCCGTGTTTGTGGATGCGAAAGCGCGGAGTGCTGTGGGCATGGCCGAGGCAATGCCCTCTCCCATGGACAAGCAGGCTTTTGGCTATGGCTCACCCACCATGCCCAAGGACAAGGAGACAAGGTAAGGCAGAGCTGGGGTGTAATTTATGCAAATGAGAAACGTTCCTAATCTGCACATCCTTTGTCGTTTAAGACTCAGGGGACAATGTAATGTGTAGGAGGCTCCTGCACCCGGCTGAGGTGTTTATTAGCTGTCTGTCAAGGTATTTAGTAATTTAGGGGAGATGTGACACCATCCATTATTAATTTGAAAGTATTGTCAACCCATGATGAATCCCTAGTTATTTTCATTTGTGTAAATTTCAGTCATTGGAAAAAATATAATAAAATAAAATGATTAACTGGGATTTTTCTTTGCAGACAGCCAGATCATGTTACAAGAACAAATGATATTCTGTTCCTGCTAATAAGTGAATATATTTCACCCCCGTTAAGAATGACACTCTGATATTACAATTTTGGTTCTTTATGGAGTGAAGTTTTTCTCATCTAGGGTTAGGAAATGGGAAGAATTTATCATTACTGTCTTATCTCCTGTAAAACATGAATTTGCATAAAAATAGGACAGTTGTTTACAATAATCTTCCTTGAGGGGGAACTGCTGAGAAAAGCAAGTCTGTCCCAGGGAAGAAATCAAAACATGAATACCATTCCCAATAATTTTTCCAGCATCACAAGTAGTTGGTGACCTGACTGTTGTTAACTTCAGTGTGATGGCAATGATGACAATGATCTCTCCTGTCTTTTTAAGGACCAAATTTATACAAGGGTCTGTGAAGGCTTCTCCTGCCTTAGACCCTGCCCTGGGAGAGAAAAATCATTGCACTGCCAGGTGGTTGCTATGTGTTTATGTGAGCTGTGTTAATCTCTAGTGTATTGTTTGTGCTGTTAAGTTTTATAGAGCTCTTTAGGGAAGTGAAGATGAATAGCTGGAAAATGCTGAGCTCACAGAGGCCAAAGGTAACTGCTGATTGCCTTAACCACTGGGAAGATACGGAGCTTCATATGGACCCTAGGCTTTCCCTCTGTCTAAGCAGCTTGCTCAATAATTAGTTGCTGCTTACCATGCTTGGCCAGAAAAAAAAGTGGGTCATGAGATCCACTGGTGGGGAAAAAGTGGAAGAATATATAGAAAAACAGCCACCCACAAAAATTACAGGCTTATAGCTTGGTAGTTATGACATAAGTACGAGATAGGGCATATTACGATGTAAAATCAGTGAAATTGGATTTTTATGTATCTGTTTCCGAGAGAAAGTTGCAGGTATCTGAAATTTCGTTTCAAGCCGTCATTATTACATCTAGGAAATTATTTGAAGGAAATTTGCCAATTTTAGTCCATTTACAGATTGAAAATTCTACAGAGTTCATTATAGGAATTGAAAATAAGGAAGGACATCAAAAACTTTTATGTTTGTACAATTTTCTGTCTTCTGGGCATCTCTGCTGTTCACTCAGCTGCACAGATATACACAAGAGTGTTTGTTTGTGAATGGATAAAGAGAAACTCCACAGATAGTTCTACAGCTCCTTAAAAGGGAGTTTTGCACCAGGTGTTTTAATCCTTGTCCCAGAATATATTAACAATGAAGAAAACAACATTTGCATAATTGCAGTTCCAAATAAATACATGATCTTAAAATTCAGCATGGTGTGTATTAGTCACATGACACTGAAAGAATAATTTTGAAAGCTGTCTTTATGGGTTGTGGCTTTTTTTAACCTTGAGGAAGTGTGACTTTCTAAAAGTAATTGTAAATATCAAAAGGAATTCATGCAAATTGCATGCAATATTAAGAATTGTGTTTGAGTTCTACAAACACAAAATGCTCTAAGCTTTAATTTAGCTTTATAATAATCTCGTGAACTTTGAAAGCAAACACTGTTTAAACCATACTAAACTAAACAAGGAGTTATCCATGTTGAGGTGCTCTTTTCCTGATTCATTTGGGATTGAGTTGTTACAAGGTTGTTATGGATATCTAAAGGGTGATGTACCTAATGGCAGAATGGTATCCCCTACCTTGTTGTGTAGGACTTAGAGTTTACACCCGTAAACAGTATGGGCTTGCTTCTGTGAGAAAGAGTATTTTTGGGATTGTAGAGATAGGTCTGAATTAATTGTCTTCCAGGCAAGCTAAAATGAGGTGTAGGCTCCTCTGTTGTGTGTTATCCACTTGCTGATGCCAAGTGCCTGAGAGCCAGGCCGCAGCAAGCACAGGGCAGTGTGTTCAGTCAGCCTGCCTGCAGAGGTGTCAGCTCTGGGCACACAGAGCAGCTCTTGGCCTTGGAGCTGCTGAGGAGAGAGGTCTTTGTCATCTCTGCACTATGGCACATGAGACTCCCCATTGTGGCACATGAGACTCCCCATCCTGACTCATTCAGGAGCGGATTGAGGACCCTGCAGGCACCAAACCCATCATCTCAGCCCTGTCGTTTATTTAATCCCTAGTGGAGCGTGCCGAGAGCAAAGAAAACATCTCTTGTGTCATGACTTTATGGAAATTTCGTCGAAGCAGCACTGTCACAACCTCAGGACAATGCAAGTTTAAGTATAAATGAGGGAAAAGATTGAAAGGGATAGTGAAAATGTCAGAAGTAAAAGTGAATCTCTCTTCCCATCTCAATTCTTCAATTTTGCTGTCCAAGGCTGAACTGGGATATCTCTGTACTTTATCAGAAAATGTTGGGTACTTAAAACAGATATCCTGGTTTTGTTGAAGGAAATGGTTCCATTACCTTTGGAACATTAACTGCAGCAGATTTGGATCTACAAGAGATCCAAATCTGGGATTTCTGAGCTCTTCTGTTGGAGTTTCCCATTTTAGTTTGACACCATGGAAGCCAGTTTCATCAAGCCAGTTATTTAAAGCAGAGTTGAGAGGGATTTAATTACTTCATGTAATGCTTTCTTGTAACTCTTTTACCTTGGCTATTTCCAAGATAACTACCTCTGTAGTGGTATAAAGGATTGACTAAATTCTCACAGTTAATTCATTTACCAGAAGAGTCCCATATAAAGCTCTTTTACAACAGTGAGAAGAAACAAATTAATGGAGATTTAAAGAAATAAAAGATGTTAGTATTCATGTACAGAAAAAATATTAGAAGTTATAACAGGTTACAGCAGTTCACCTTCAAAGGGTCATCGTCTCTTAAATCTGAGGTCTGCTGGAAGAATGAGTAAATTTTTGTGTGCATGAGTTGTTTAAACAGAGATGTGCTGTCATATTTTTGGATGGCTCATTTGTGTAGTTTGTGGGACATTTCTGGAAGTTACTACAGGCAAAGCAGATGTTTAAATGTTGATAAATTGGAAAAGAAGCTGTTTATTCAAAAGTGCATTAAATTAAATGCTGTTTAACCTAAAACCTTTGCATTTACAACACAATTCTAGATTATTTGATAGTGCGAAATATATATATAATAAATGCTTCTACTCTGAAACAGCAAAATGACTCTATGGAATACTTCTCCAAAAGCATTTTCAGGGTGTACTTTGGTTCTCTTCTGCCTGAACACAACTTTTGTCCTCTTCTTTTTATGCCATACTAGGGAGAAAAGATGACTGCTGGATTGAGCAAAAAATGTGATCACATTATGGGCTCATGGCTTGCAGTTCAAGACTAAAGTGTAATGGCCACGTGTAGATTATTATATCTTGTTCCCCCCCACAACCACTTTATTGTTTGATATGTTGAAGTACAGATGGACTCTCTATGCATTAGGAAAAATGACCCTACTTTGTAAAGTCATGAACAGTGAGAGTTAATGGTGTGTTTTATAAGGGGAGGCTTTACAAATACACTGTCTCAGACACTTTTCACAGGGCCAGAACTGCATATTCCTCTGTGAAAGGTGTTGAATAGCCAGGCAGAAAAAATGAAGTCAAATGACCAGTACAGGATGGAGGAAAGGTAAACTGTATTTTGTCTTCCTTGTGTTAGAGGAACTGTTTGTAGGAAGAGGAGAGGCAGGCTCTGGGATGAGAGTCGTCAAATAATGTAATAGCTGGTGCGCTTCAGAGCTTTCTTTCCTCTTTAGTTTCTGGATGTACAAGGTTTGAGTTTAATCTTCTCCTTAGAGGAATGACATATTCACCTGTGTGAATCCTTCTGTGGGAAGAAAGAATACAGAAGAATTCTGCTGATCTTTGGTTCCCGCCCTTTCAAGAAACCCTCTCATCTGTTTTGGGGGAATTTGCAGTAAAGTCTTAAGACACCTTCACTTGAACCTGGGAAAGTCATTGGGAAAAACAGCCTACTCCTGTTTCCTTTCTTTTCCCAGTGAGGTAAAAAAATTGTAATGAAACGTTTCTATCATACAGTAATATAGAAAGAAATGTGTATTTCTTCTCTGACCCCCTTTTCGTTGCTTCACTTGGAGCTTAACTATTAAATAGGAAGTCACAGAAAATTTTTTCTCCAGGAAGGTGTGCCAGGTAGTTCATGGTGCAGATTTGGTGTTTGAGTACATCTTTTGTGGGTGATGTGCCTGGGGTTGGACAGGAGTGTGAATGAACAGTTACACAGACCAGTTTTATTCTGCATGTGTACAAAGTATCTTCTCAGTGATGTGAATATTAAAGATGTCCCCAGGAAAGGGCAGTAACATGCAAGTGGCATGTCACACTTAAATAGCATTGCTGTGACAAGTGGATACCAATTCAGCAATATGCTGTACCCCTTCTTGGAATTACTTCCAGTTCACTGCAATAGAAGGAGTAACTTGAAAGATCAGTGAAGTAAGGAAGAAATATGATATCTGGTGTATCATGTTCCCCAGAGAAGCAAGGGCTTGCTTTGGTTCTGCTGAATTTGGGGAGTGAGATGCTAAGGCAGGGCCCAGTTCCTGGACATCCCTAGAGCCAGAGCTGTGGGTCAGGCTGCTGGGGAGAAGAGGGCTGGCAAGTGGCCTGTCCCTGCCTTCCTGGCCAGGGTCTGTGAGAAGCCAAAGCCAAGTCTGACAGAGTTCTGCTGGGCGTTGCTTCTGACCTTGTCCTCTCCTTTCCTCCCCCAACGTGCTGCCACCTCTGACTCTCCCAGCATTCACAGGAAAACAATGTGAAACAATGCCTTTCTGTGCTCAGGCTGATAAAATAGCCATTTCTTTCCCAACTGCTGTAAAAGGGACCCTCCCTGCTCTTCCTGGGTGGTGGAGAGATGCAGCTTTATCTGGGAAATTAATCTGGGAGCAGAGACGGGTTGGCTCTTCTTGGCCTACCACCCTTCTGGTGGCAGCCAGCAGAAGCACCACTCTGTTCCCTGTCTGCCCTCTGTCCTAGTGCTCCCCATCCGGGCCTGCCCTGTGTCACTGGAGCCTGTCCCACGCCTGGGGACCCTGCCTGCCCCATCCATGGGACTCTGGCCTGCCCTGTGCAGGCAGAGCTGCTGGGACAGGCTGGTCCCATCTCCCCTCTCCACAGCAGTGAGCACAGTGAGGGGTAGAAAACACAGTGCTGAGAACCAAAAATCACTGTTTTTGTCATGGCAATGCTGGTATCCCTGATAGACCCTGGCACAGCCTGAGGAAAGCATTTTGTTCTCCCTCCTGGAGCAGAGTGTGCTCCAGCCCTTCACAAGGAAGTTGGAGGCAAAGGGGTTCACTGCAGATCCTGTCTGTGCTCCTCTGGAGCTTTGTGGTGACAGAACTGGGCCACCAGCCCTCTAGCCACATCAGGCCAGGTTACAGCCCCACCACCAGGCCATCTGCATCCCTCCCTGCCCATGCTGGAATGAGCTGCCTCCCTCCACCTTCAGTCTGACCACCTCCAAAGATCAGGTTGTTTTATTTAATGCCTAAAAGGCACCTTTCTGACACCTGTTTTTGAAATGTTTGATGCTAATGGTCATAACAAGTCTGGGTGTTACAGTGGAATTATTACAGGAAAAATCTGCCTGGTTTCTAACAGAGAACTCCAGAGCACATGTAGATTCTTCACATTCTTAATGCTTTTACCATATGAAAAATAATGTGTTCTGTGCAATTGATTCCAGTATTTCATTCGTTTTTCAGCATCTCCTATCTTGGAACATCCCTCTCCCTCTTAACGACATACTTTCCTAGATTTCATGGCAAAGGACAAGATCAGCTTTGTGTTGCCATAATATCTTTTGAAGCAGAAAATTGTTTCCAGATTATCTAATGTGGGAGGAAAAAAACTATCATATTTATGGATTGGTAAAACAGATAGACTTCCAGTTGAGCTTAGTTCCAGGAAGGTTTTGTGATGATTATCTGGGGGAAAAAAAATGTTTTCATTATTAAGTGTCAAAAATGCTGCATGAAAGTTTGTTAGAGTATATTTATCCCTGGGTTTTAGTACTTGTTTTTGTTCCAAAGGTTACTGTAGCCTGCACCAGTTTCTTATTTTAAAACTTGTAATAGTGGAAATTCCGTAACGTATTTCTTGGTTTGAAGTGAATTAAGTCAGATTCACTAGTCTTCCCATCACCCTTCAAAATACCTTTCAACATCAAGACAGAAAAGTGAGATGCATTAAATTGCAGTAAGAACACGTCTGCTGGCTGGGGACTCACTGAGCACTCTCTTCTTCCCTGCTTGTGTCTGTTAGCATCTCATTGCTTGTTTTGCTGCCCTGTTTTCTCAACCTCTGGGTGTCTCTGAGTCTCTCCTGGCTATGGTGTCTGTGTGCTATCCCAGGAAACCTCGTTCATTCCCTGGATGTGAATGAAATAATTAGCCTGGACAATCCGTCTGGCTGCAAGCAGGGCTGATTACTTGCTTTTTATCATGTCAGCTTGCTTTTGCCTGTTATTGGTACCTACATTTGAGTTTGTATGACTCTTATTGATTGATGCTATTGCTTTGGCCACCAAACTGCAACTGCAGCTGGGGTGGCCAGAGTTTGGCTGCTCCTGTGTGCGCAGAATGCTGCTGTGGTGATGGATAGGCCATGCAGCATGCTGAGTCTGTGTCTGAGTTTGTGTGTCCCATCTTCTCTCATCAGTCCCTGCTGCTGGTCTTAACCTTAATCTTGCTTTTTGAGAAGTTTTCTTCCCAGTCATCTTCCAAAGCCACAGCCTGCTGTTAGAATGTCCTCCTGCAAGTTTCCCCACACACGTAACTGCTGTGGTAGAGGAATGCCTTTTCACAAGGTGCCATACTGATGTATGTCTGTGTTGTGGTGTGTCTTTGACATACTGGCATGTACAAGTAGGCACCTGTGTGAGCAAAAGGCCGGTTTGGAGCCAACTGAGGAAGTCCCCTGGTACCTAACTAATATATGGATTTATGCAAACAGATAAACACGCAAATGTTAGCGTTCACATCCAAAAAAAAAAGTTATTCTTGTTTAGTGACCTTTGGTTCCTATGGAAAACACTGATTATACTTATTATAACTCTACATCTCTTTTCTTCTGTTTTTTGAGAATTTCTCAGGATATGTGCACGAAAGAAAATCTGTTTTATTGTAACATTGCTGTACAGTCTGCATTTTGTGCCTCTCTGTCACATTTCTGTCCTTTTCAAAGCAGACAGTTGTGATGTCAGGTGGAAAGGATTTGGGCTGGAAAGTCGTCTGCTTGGGCAGATTAAATGCTTCCCAGACAAGAATTCTGAGTCTGGGGAAAGTAAAAATAGTAACAAGAAGAAGTGTAAAGTCTTTAATCCTGAAACCTTAAGTACAGACAAAATGATTGCCCCAATGTAGGTAAAAGAGAAAATGCAAGAGAATGCTGAAAAATACTTTTTCACTAGTACCAAGTGGCATTAACAAATTGTTTTAGGTGCCTGTCTTGTGAGGTCGTTAGAAGTTTATTACTTGGTTGTTTGTTCTGTTATTTTTAACTAAGCAGATTTTTTTAAATTGTCTGTTATGATGCAAAAGCTGTCCAAACTGAGATGTGGTAAGCTGCTGCAATAAGGTATATGCAAACTGTACCCAAGGGCCTTTGCACAAACTCTGTAGTGTCTTTCCAATCCTGTGGTAATCATTCACCTAAAAAAACAAGTCTGAAAGCAAATATATCTGGCTTTAACAAACGGTTCTCTTGTCTTACAGAGAGAGGATACAAGCCATGGAGAAACAGATTGCCAGTTTAACTGGTCTTGTTCAGTCTGCGCTTTTAAAAGGGCCAAATACAAGTAATAGCAAAGATTCTTCTAGGTAAAAACAGAATTCATCTGTAATGATTTTAGTAATCAATCAACAAAAATATATTTGATTGTAATAGTAAAAAAAATCCTGAATGCTCAATCATTTTTAAGTTTCTTTATCATCTCCATGAGAATGCTAGGCAGAGAGGAAGAATATGCCAAATGATAGATGGATATGAACTGCATTACTCTTCTTTGTGATAAAAAGAATTAATGTAGCTGCATCTCTGTGCTTTCTACTGCTTATACTCCATTCATTGCTTAACTTCTACTAAAAGGTGATTTAAAAAAATTACTGATGACTGACAAATTATTGGTGATTTAAATTAAAAAATATATATGTTTTAAGGCCATTAAATTTGTTGAATATAAACTTCACTACAATTTTAATAGTTAATAAACTAAAATTACACTTTTCTTTTTATTATTTAGTGAGAAGATGATGAAAATTGTGTCCAGCAAGAGCAGTGCCGACACTGCAGGTAAGATGATTCACTTTTAATTTACAATTTATTCAGGTATATTAATAGTTCTAACATTACAAGCATCCCAGCTTATGGAAATGTCAAATTTACTTAAATTTCCATGGCTGTACTGTCAGAACTGAAGTTTAAGTGCAGGATATGGGAGTCGATCACATCTTTTAAGAGAGGAATTTCTGACAGGTTGAGATGGTATTTGGAATGAATTTCCCACCTGTGCCGAATAGTTTAAATGAGATGCAGAGCCTCTGCATCTGGTGAATTTTCCAGTGACTCATCCTGTCTATAGGATGTATGTATATCTGCCATTAACCCTAGATGTGTCCAGATTCCTGTAGAAGACTAAATATTTAATTCCTTTTCTTGTCACCTGAACTTTTTCTAAGGTCCATCTGTCACTAGGATACTACTGATGTAATGACACCAAGAAACTTAGCAGTCAGCAAGACAACACTTTCCCTAATTAAGCCACATTGATCTGTTCCTAATTATTGGTGCGCATCTAAACCTTTCTGAGCAAGCACCAATTATGAAGCCAGTAAGAGCCGGTCTTGTTTTAGCATCCCTCCTGGAGAGCTGTTAAGTGTGTAAAAGATTGAGTTAAAACTGTTGACAAAGAAGATTTCCATGTGGTTGAAACCCTTTGTGTAGGGGCTGCTGCTGGAGAAGTCCGCAGGGTATTGGTGTGCTTATGTGCCTCCTCTTCACCTTTGTCATGCACTGAATGCAAATCCAGGCAGTTCCCTGCTTCCTGGTGGTGCTGCTCCCACAGGGAGGTCTGTGCCCGGCAGGCAGTAAACCACACACATTTATTAGCAAACCTATTATGCTCCTAACTAGCCTTTCTGTTGGAGCTGTTAGCTCACGTTCAGGATTCCTGTTTGTCTGGAATTGCACTGTGTCCTCCTAATTGACAGAAACCAAACTAGACCTGGAAACTATCAACCACATGGAAGAGAGAAAGAGCTGAAGTCCTGGTACTGAAGCTTTGGTCCCAAGCCACTCTCTGGTGCTGTTCCAACTCTTCCCTTCCTGGATGGGGAGAGGATTACTTAAAGCTTTGAAGAAATAAGTTGTAATTTTTCAGTTTCAGACAATATAGTGAGAAGTCTGTCATTATTCAAAGCAGCTGCAAAATGGTCTTCAGATTTTTCCCTATTGCAGTGTCATTACAGACTGAGTATTTATGGCATTTCCCACTTGCATAGGCCTCACCTCATATAAAGCACTTATGAAACTCTCACAACCAGCACATACAGTGCCTTGTTTTCCTTTTTGTTGTGCATTGCAAACAGCAACCTCTCTACTTTCCCTGTGGTAGTACCAGTTCAGACTTGGTGAGGGGCACTCAGTCAGAGGACCTGATCCAAGTGGGTGCTGCTTTGAGTGGGATCTTGGGCCTTCAGAGGTCCCTTTAAAACTGAATTATGTCGTGGTTTGTGTGCACACATGTAAATGTGCACTCACTCAAATGAGAAATGGAGCAATATTCATTGGGAAAGCAGCCTTATATAAAGCAAAAACGGAGATTTCCTGGGCAGTCATGCCCAGCCCACCAGAATAGTGTGGTTCATCTGACCAGCAGCCATTTCCTGGCACTGTTGTTCCCAAATACTCCTCATTCACTACCTTATCATATGACTGACATGTCCCTGAAATGGCAGTATTACATCTAACAGCTGCATGTGCAGCTGTGGTGGGTGAGATGGAGGGTGGGAACTTAATTCACTGTCAAAGGCCAGATCATCATCTGTCACTTACTGACAGAGACATTGGCTTTGTCACATGGCCATGTGCCTATCCAGCATGTGAGTAAGGATTCCAGTATTCAGCTTGTGCTATAGATGCTTTTCTCATCACCTGGGAGAAAGGGAAAGGACAGTGGGAGCGGCCATGCAGCCAGCAGTCTGCAAGGATCCCTATCAGTACTATAAAGTATAGTTGTAAATCCAGCACCTGCATCTCTATATCCTGTCCTTCCAACATGACTCAGCCACAAAATTAAATTGTAGCAGGTAGGGAACAAGGTGTGTTGACCCCAGTGTACTACAGTATTGTAGTCCACAGCAGCTATTAGTGGAGACTGCTGTGTAAAAGAATCATCTTGTATAATGGAATATTTTCCCGCTTTTGTACCTGGAATTGCTCAGGACATGGTCCAATGAGTCAATGCAGTTTAGCTTACTTGAAAATTAGGCAATCTGCTAGAATAGAATGTTTCTCCTTTTTGTAAATATGCTTGGGTTCAAAGAGAAGCTAGATACACTTCTGCTGACCGCTGTTTTGTTCTTCAATTCACCCCAATCTTTATTACGTATAGACATTTAGGCAGTGACTCTCTCACTTTACAATTCCACTTGACAACTGTGCACTGAGATACCAGTTTTAGCAATTTCAAAGACTATTTGAAAGACAAAGTGGTATAAAATGTTGATTGAACAGTCCTTTCTAGAGTTCTGATAAGCAAAAATGTGAATTGCTTCCCATTCTAAAAAATAAAACATCTGTGCAAGATAATATTGTCTTATCAACGTTGAACCAACATTGTATTTTATAGTATGTGTTCCAATGGTAGGAGACTTTTGTGCAAAAAATAGACTACATCCCTTGGGATGGGAAAGAAACCAAAAATTCTAAACCCTTGATAACTCTATATAGCTAGATTGTGAATACTTTGTTTGGGATGTCATATGAACCAAATTGTATTTAATTTGTTTTTGCTGTGCTGGTCTGTAGAAGCCATTGACTTCTTTAACCCCAAATATTAAGGACTCTGAAGAAATCCAGCTTTTTCACTGAGGAAGATGAGTCTGGAATAACAATGCTTGTCTGCATTTCTTATCTTTTATTGCTTTAGGCTCAGTTCTTTCATGGGGGATGGGTTCAAAGAGCAGTAACCCTCCACAGACTGGCTATGTCTCTTCTGCTAATGTTAGGAGAAATTCCATGACTGAATCCTTATAAAGGTCTTCAGTTCCTGAAACACCATCATGGCATCAAGGAACTCATGATTTAGAAACAACACGTGATTCTAAAACCAAACCATACTATTAAGAGTCACCATGGGATTACTAACAAATACCCTGAGAAATACTTACATACTCTCTTTTCGTCATATTTCTGTTCATCACCTGGAGATTGATAGACTAAATCCTGGATTCATTTATTAAATTGGAATCAGTTGTTTCATGGATTACCAAAAAAACGCAATAGCTTTTTGCTAGTTGCTGCCTTCTAAGAAGAGGAAGGAAGACATTTCAGTATTATTTGAGAAGGGGATCAGGGAGTACAATTTTCTGCACTAACACCACCAATACAAAACAAGAGGAAGATGGCAGCAGGGAGTAGTATTACAAACATAGGGCTCAGATTTGACTCCTCATTCTTTGTGAACTGTCTTGTCATCTGTGTATATCTGTGTGCCCTTCTCACATGCATGACTCTTGCTGTGATGACCTCTGAATTAAATCATTGTCCATATCTGCTTGCTTATCCCAAAGATAGATCATGCTAGTCTTAGAACTCCATCAGCCTTTGCAGACAAAATAGGATGCTGAATTCATTTTGGATCAATGAGATGAAGTTGCACACTAATGTATAGATAGAATATTTTGTTACTTTGAGGCTGATTTAGTGCCATCTAGTAATTGTCACATCTCCCCAAATAATGCTTGAAAATATTGTGTCCTTTAATTAGATTAGTTATTTGTGAAAAAAATGTTGTGGTGTGTCTTCTGATGGTCTTTTGTGCCCACCTGCTTCAAAATAAAATCTTAGCATTTTATTTAAAAGAAAAAAAACTGGGAAACGGAAGGAGAGCAGTGTCTTTACAACCATAGCAAAGGTCAAGTGTCAGTGAGTAGAACTCATGTTCCTTATCCGCTGAGCACACGGCAAACCTTTCCTCTTTCTGCACTTCAGTTTTCTTTGTACTCTAAAATGGCAGCTTAGTTCATTAGCCTTTGTAAAAAGTTAATTTTTTTTATTTGTCCAAAGTATTAGGAAATTATGGTGGGAGGTTGAATTTCCCTTAACTAGCTCAAGAGGGGGTTTATTTAAAAACCCAAGAGCCAGTGCTGTTTCTTTCCCTTTAATCCATTTGGCCTCACATCTAATCACAAAGCTACAGCCTGGGACTATTCCAACAGTGAGCTACACTCCCTAGATGAAGCAGCCCCTCATTCAGCTGCCATTTTATTCTTTCTTGGTGAAAATATGAATGTGTGAGAAATCAGCTGCTGATGGTTATGGCTCACTCAGTGTCCTGTGTCTCACACCCGCTGCAGTCAGCAGTCCCACTGCCCCGTTTCCCAGGCTCTGAGCAGGGACACTGTGGCAGCCAAGAGCACCTCATGCTGAAAAGAGGTGGCTGAGGCAGCAGTGAGGAGGAGAGCTGCTTTGTAGGGAGTTGGAGACATTTATTGCTTACAGAAGCAGATCACAGTCCATCTACACTAAAAGGAAAGCAGGCACCCCTTCCTGAGAAAATATGTGAATTGACTGGGGTCCAGCATAGGGGGAGGGACTGGTGGGGTCTGATTCATGCCTTGGCTGCCTCATCACAGGGTCAGGGGCTGAGGTTTTGGAGCTTTTTCTTGAGGCAAAGAACAGCACAAAGGTAGGTGTGCTTTCAAAAATAGTCCAGATTTGTGGCTAGGGATCAGAACTCTTGGAGGCTTATCCACATTTTTCAGACTCTCTGGTGGTTTCTGTCTGTAAGGTTTATGAACTAAATACCATTCTCTTAAACAAAAAAGGCAAAAAGTAGTGCATGTGGGAGGGAAATAGATGCTTGACTGTAGGAGAAACTGCAGTGTACATGTAGACAGATAAGTATGAGCATACATTAGACAAGCATGGAGTGGGTACATAATGGCAGTGAACAAGGACTGTTTATTTCTTGAGTGTTGCTTTCTGTTAAGGAGCTCTTTGAAAGTCAAGAGACCATTGAATCATACTGGAGTATAGCAAAAATGTGCAGCAGCTTGCTCAGCAGTGTAATGATGAGTACTGTTGTTGAAGCACCAAGCAGATCTAGCTGGAGCAGGTTCAGGGGTGGTATAGCATTACAACAGCCTGCACTAAGCTAGAAGAACTTTTTGTCTAAACATGTCTCCAGAAGCTCATAGCATGGCACACTGTATGTAGCATGGATTCAGCCTGTGCTTTTTTTAAGCAGAATTTCAAATGAAGGTAAAGTAACAAACATGATTCCTTAAAACCTTTTTTTTTTTTTTAAATAAAAATAGGCTGGTGTGATGTCCATCCTTTAAGAGTCCTTCCCCTAGATGAATTTTGCAAAGGTTGTATTTGAGGTATCCACTCCTCTTGGAAAAGGAATAACTGTGTTGTTATGTTGAGCTGTACTCAGGCTCATTTGGAGTTCAAAAGATTATGAGGGATGAGAGCATGGGGAGAGAACTTCCCACTCTGGGAGTTGTACTCATTCCAGTCAGAAGATCTGTCATGCTCTTTAGTGCACTGAAAATTTGCCTTCAGCAGGCAAAGCTCACAACACTGTTTTTTGTTTGATTTCATTAAACTTGATAGAATGTGTGGTTGTTGGAACAGATGATGACCAAAATCCCTGTGTAAATCCATTGATGAGCTATTTTCTGTTTCTTCAGATCCTTTTTTTCATCATAGAGAAGGAAGAAATTGAAGTAGGGAATGACCTAATCATGGAATAGAGTCATGGAATTATTTAGGTTGGAAAAGACCTTCTAGATCATCCAGTTGAGCCATTAACCTAACACTGCCAAGTCCACCACCAGGCCAGGTCCCTAAGCACCACATCTACACATCTTTTAAATACCTTCAGGGATGGTGACTCAACCACGTCCCTGTGCAGCCTCTTCCAATTCTTGATGACCCTTTTGGTGAAGAAATTTTTCCTAATATTAAATCTCCCTGGCTGTAACTTTAGGCCCATAATTTTTGTTCTATTTTTTGTTATCTGGGAGAGGTGACCAATTCCCACCTCCTTCCAACTCCCTTTCAGGCAGTTGTAGAGAGCAATAAGGACCTTGAGACTCCTTTTTTCCAGACCGAACACCCCCAGCTCCCTCAGCTGTTCTCATTAGACTTGTGCTCCAGACCCTTCACCAGTTTTGTTGCCCTTCTCTGGACATGGTCCACCTCTCAATGTCTTTCTTGTAGTCAGGGCCAGTTAATGCTGTAGTTCAGGGAGCATCAGCCTTCTGTGCCATTTGGGATCAAGGAATAAAGTGGATTTGGCAGTGTGATGGGAAGAGTTTGCAGGACTACAAAGTACTGGACTTAAAAAATGAAGTTTGTTGTACTGATGGTCTGTCATTTTGTCTGCTCAGGGAGTGGGGAGCAGGGAGGGACACATTAGGAAAAAAATTTGAAGAATATAGGTGTGTAAGTGCAAATTGTGAGAAGGAGCTGACATTTCTAATACCTGATGAACTGGAATTTGCTTGTTCTGTCTAAAGAGAGCTTCTTCACAGGTACTTGAGATTGAAAAGAACAAGCTTGGCATTGTTCCTGTGCAGAAGAACAGCATTCTTTAACAAAGAAAGTTTTGTGAGGACAACAATAATTATTTTCAGAGTGTGACTCGGCTCATTTCCTTGTGTTATGCTGTATTCCTTTCTGACAGACTAAGAGGGAGTGGGTGGATGCAACATGGCTGGAGAGCCGCTGGCACACCATCATTTAATTCCTCTGGTTTTATAGGGTTGCTGCTGGAGGTACCTGCTAGAAATAATGCAGTTGTCCTTTAAGCAGTGAAGCAAGATTTTCTATAGAAATCTTTTCCCCATATTTGGCAGCTTGACTGAATCCATCTCCTGTGATGATTAATCAACAAATACGTCATTCAGGAGTCCTGTGAATGAATTTGCATCAACTTGGTCTCAGACATCTCCTGGGAGCACAGTCCTGAAGTTACTTCCAGAACCAATTTGATTTGTTGCTGTTTTGTGTCATCTGCAGTTAAAACTTGTCCCCTCTCCACTGCATGTGGTAGAAAGCAGTCCTGGAGTAATGCAGTGCTTTGGTAGAACTGAGGTTCCAGCACAGATACACTACTCTGATGCTGTGCAGGCTTCCCTCAAAATATATTGCATAGGAATGTGCTTTTTGTTCATGGAATGACAAAACTTTTTTTTTGGTTTTTTAAAAATGAAAAAACTTAGAAGTTTTTTTCTTTTTAATTAGGTAAAAAGACACTTTATAGGATTTGAGGGACTTTATTTTAAACTTAAGGATAACTAATTGGACAAGAGTGAAGAAGTATTGCTTAAGCAATTTACTTGAAAAAAGAAGAGAACAAAAAAACTAATTGCTCTTGTAAGGTGTTTTACTAGGACCAAGAACATTTAGCACTTGGCTTGTTTTTTTTTTTTTGTAAAGAGTTCTATTATTTTGCTTTTTATTAATTTTTTTTGTTTTTAACATTACTACAAAAGCTATTTTACTAATTTTATGCTTTTTAAAGTAGCTGAACTATTTTAGGTGTAATATAAATGTCTAAGAGCTTATGAGACTTGCCTTAAAAGAAATATATATCAATTGGGTGAGGAGGTACCAGTTCCTGTTAATACTGAACATTGGCATCCATCATTTGCTTTTCTCATCCACCTGTGTGAAAAACCTGTGGATTCAGTGGGCAGAGGAGGGGTCACGTTTGCACCTTCTCTGCTGTGAACTCAACCTGTGCTGCTGCTCATTGCAGGTGCTGCCACCATCTCTGGGGGGAAGAATGCCCTGGGAGCTGTGGAGTCAGCTGTCACCCACCACCCCTCTGGAGCCCCAGCAATGCAGCTCAGCCTGCACGGGATGAAACGCAGCGTGTCGGATCTGCGGCTGCAGCTGCACCAGATGAAGCAGCTACAGGTATGGTTATCTGGGCAATGCTGGGAAAAAAGGTGGCTTGGCAGCAAATGCCTTTTTGCTTCTTCCCTCTCTCTCATTTTCTCTCTTTACCTTTTGTACAGTCTCAGTAGCAGAGTTCTAGCAAAGGGCAGACCCAAGTACTACAGACACAAAAGCTTGCATAGTCCTTGAGGTGTGAGAATTAGCTCAGTTAAACTACTGTTGCTAAGATATTGAGAAAAAAAAATTAATTTCTAGTTTTGTTGGATGACTCTATAGATTAAAGCACTATTTATATTACAATAATATCAAGTCTGTGATTACAGTTTGGATCCTGCTATGCTATGTGCTGTATAAACATGTCAGAAGAACCATGTTCCTACTCCATACTGTTTACAGTTGAGACAGATCTTAAGTCCCTGAATAAACAACTTTGATGTCAGGAAACCCAAATGTAGCTGAGGATCACTAGATATGCATTAAGCCAGAGTTTGAGTGCTATATTTACAGAATCCAGAAAAGCAGCCAACTTGAACAGTAAGAAAAAACGGTATTTCAAATGTTGCGGCAAAGGTTTGTTGTGTCCCACTTACACTCAGGTTTCAAGAATACCTTCCCGATACACATGTCAACACCTCAAAACCTGCAAGAAAGAATACAACCAATGAAGAGTTAACAAAAATAGTATGTTGGCACATACAGTCATGCTGCAAATATAAATATATGCTGTTCATCTCAGACACTGTAAAAATAAGCATATGCAGCTGTACAGGTCTTCAGCCTTTTACTTAATTGGAAACTGAAGAGCACTGTGTATTGTCTGAGAAGATGGAAAAGAAGGCACAGCACTTTCTTGTAAGACAAAGTGGACGGTGGGGGAAGCTTCAATACTCTGCCAGTCCTCCTTACCCAGAAAGTGACATCATGTGATAGCTATTGTAGGGCTGCAGCTGCTGGTTTTATAACCAGGGTGATGGTACCATGTCAATCACATTTGACTTGCTGATAAATTTTAGAACAAAATAATGATAATGCAAATCAGAGTTCAGAGCATATTTTACCTTCACCTCCTTATCTAAAGAAAATTGAATTATGAACCAGTCATCAAGCAAAGAAGCAGAAGGGTGAGGTAAACATCAGTGTAGGAAAATGTGTCCAACTGAAGGTCCTGTGACAATGTCCTGTGCTGTTTGCTGGGAGTGCAGAGATGGCAGATGATATTTGGAGCAAAGAGTTGTATCAGGTGACCTCTGCCTGTGATACAACTCCCCTGTGTTTAAACTTTCCGTTTAGGATGAGTATGCTCCAATAGCAAATGTCCCTTTCAAAAGCTGTCCTCAGCAGTGCTGCCTACGTGCCAGCCATCGTGCTCCTCATCTCGTTTGAAAACACTGGCATGTGATCTCTGCCCTGGCACATTACGTGTAAGTGCATATTTTTCCACATTTGTGCTGCAAACCACTGCAGCCCCTCTGTCCTCCTCCACACCATGTGCCAAATGCAGCTCTTGGCAAATGCCTTGGGTCTGGTCCCCAGCTGTGCTCAGCACATGGCCCCAGAATTGGCTGGAGGCTGCAGGGCTGCTTGGAGGCAGGGAGCTCCTCCTTCCCACAGGGCTGCCCACCAAGGAGGTGGCATTTCCCTGGTTGAGCTTTGTCTCCATGGCCCTGCCCAGGGCAGAAGCCTTACTTGCGATCAGACATAACATTGTGGCACGCAGCAGTGAAGGAATTTCTACCATCTGCACAAATCAATGCTGCCAAGGAGGTCTTGAGAAAGGAAAAAGGACATATCCCGAGTGTGCTCATTAACTCGGGCTGGCTTCCCTTAATTCAGAAATTATAGCAAACTTGGTGCATTGAGCTAGTGGGAAGTGGAGAAATTTTGATAGTCAGTTGGAAGAACCTGTAGCTCAAGGGAAGCTTTGGTATGTTACACATAAATTCCATTGATGAGAGTTTCTGTCATGGCATTCCTGAGCTATTTTGAAAAAAGCTCACAGTTTGTAGGGCAGCAAGTGAAACAGGCAGTGTTTTAAACTGAAGAGTGTTGCAATATCACATTTTAAATTATATACTTTGTGCTACATTTTTTTCAAAAATAATTGTAAGTAGAAGGAAAAAGGTATTTTTTCTGGTTTCCCAGATTGTTTTCATTTCATGTTTGACAGTGCTTCCTATTTTTCAATTTCACTGTTTCTCCTGGTCTGGCAGTCAGTTTGTTCCTGTTTGTGTGAATTTTTTATACAGTGACAGACTAGAAGAAACACTTCAGAAAAATACAGGCACAAAATTTGGCAGGATAACTAAGAAACAGGAACAGGACATAAAACTGTGTTTAATAATGTCTATTGTTTAATTTTCAATTGATGTTACCACTGTAAGTTCATACTAATTTTCTTAATAGAATCAGAGAAATGCATGATAGAAAAGACCCATTAATTTGTGTATCCTTTGTTTGTGCTGGCAAAATCTTCTTTTTAAACCATATCCAGCAGCAATGGATTCAGATGTATTGATTCACACACCAGATAAACATATATTGTGAGATGCCACCAAAAAGTTTAGATGTGGTTGGATTTTCAACAGAGATCCTTGGCACACATACATTTACCTCATGGGTGTTGCTAGAGGCTGTGTACACTTCTTGCTACTACACTTGCATGTTCTAAGTGCTCTGATTTTCAGAGACATTCAGGACAGACTCATTTCATGGTGCTCTGGAGTTTTCCTCAATGCCAGAGATGGGCTGTAACCCAGCCTGTGTCCTGAATGGATTTGCCGCTGGTAACAATTGAGCCCATGATGACTTAGTGGGGTTGTTCATTCTGTGCTCCCAGGTATTGAGAGCTCTTAGTACCAGGTTTGAACCAAGCCTTGGATATATGTGCATGGTTTATATCATTATTTTATATGTGCACTGGATTTTTTGTCTACTCCTTTCCTTTAACTGAACTCACTTTAAGGGAACACAGTTAGATATGATTAATGTTCCCCATTAGGAATGTGTGTGCATGCATGCTTTTCCTTCACTCAGTGCACTGTTTGCAGGGAAGTGAGTGCTGCAGAAAGGACAGAAAATGTAATAACACTGTCATAAATGGTATGATACTCAGTTTCACAAGTGTAACTTTGAATTAGAAATTAATATATATTTGACCTGCATTATAGAACTGAAGCTGCTAGCTTTAATCAATGTATGGTGACAAACTTCAGGAGCTAGATACTTAGATTCTGCAAGGTGCTGAGCTGCAGGCAGCTGTGGCTGTGTTTGTGGCTGTGCCCTAGAGTTCATGGGGAGGTGGGAGATACCACTGGGCAGGTCATGCTTGTCTCCTAATGAGGAGCAGGGTTGTGAACCAATACTTGATTTTCTAGTTACCTGTCTCATAGATAATAGATAATAATTGGTTCAAAGTGAACTGGACTGGTTATTAGATTATGCTTGGAGGGGGTACCAGAGGCAGAGCTGGGGTAGTTGTGTGAGAACAGTAACAAATAATGGCTGAAGCACAAGATGAAGAAGAGGGCCAAGAAAGGTATCTGGAGAAATTGGTGAGGCTCAAAGTGAGAACCAAGGGTAAAGAATGTATGAGCGATGCGAGAATTCAAAAAAAGCATGCTAAATTCTGTATGAATGCTGCTTGCAGTTATAAGATGAGGTAACTCAAATTAGCAAGAAATTACCATTTGTTGGTGACAGGAAAGCCTGCATTGGTTTTCCTTACTTTTAGTACATGCCTTTAGAACTTCAGTACTGCTTCAAGAAAGACTCTTCAAGAATGAATGTTTAAGATTGTTTATTTGGCTTGTTTTCAAGCAAGCTTATAGTACAAAGGTTCTGTTGTGTGGAACCAGAATAACTGTGGCAGATCCATAAAACATCTTTTTGTTGAGATGGTGGAGCACAGGTGCTCAGAGGGGCAGATGGGGTGTGCACTTATCCAGGGAGTCTCACATGTGTTTCTGCTGGCAGAAGAAAGGAAAGAATGAAGTTCAGTTCCAGAGCACAGAGGTAAATGGGATGGCCAGAGACTGCCTTCTCCTTCTTGCTCCTGCTCTCCCTGCCTCATGCTGTCCTTTGGCTGCTGACTGACACAATTGCTCCCCTCCCACAGTTCTTTCTTTTGTCTCTCTGAACCCATATGTACTTCTCCCTTCTTTATCTTTTGACCCTGTTCCCGAGGCATGAAGAAGCTCAGGTTTTCTGTAACTAGCCAATTATTGCATGAATTTTCATAGGAATAGTAAAAGCATTTCTTTGATACCAAGATTGAGTCATGTTCCAAAATTAAAGAGCTCACTCCAAACTCTGAGGTTTGGGAGTCTTCAACATACAAGATTTTTTGAAATCTTATTGTGTTACATTTTTATTCTCTGTCCTCATTATCAGAAATAGATGAACTTTTATGACTGAAACTTCCTGGTATTGTTCAAGCACTTAATAAATGGAGGTGACAAACACCTTAGCTGTACACGTCACCACAATAAATATAGCTCCTCTACATACCCCCATAATAGGAAAAACCATGTGCCTGCCATTTCACAACCTCACACGCTCACACATACTCACTTTTGCTGTTAGTGGAAGTCCCTTTTACCAGCTGAGGAACATCAAGGACTTAAATTCTGGACACCTGAGACTTAAGTCTAACTTTATTACTGACCTTCTCACTGACCTCGGATCAGATGTTTTACAGATCCTAACTCACTTCCATGTATCAAATTTCCCCACTTTTTAAAGACCTGGGAATAAATTGTGTGACTGAAGTGTTACATGCTCATTCACCCATTTATTCATTCATTTAGCTTTTCCTACTTGAAAATATGACACAATGAAAGAGGTGTGTATCTCAGATAGTTGTGCTGGCCTTGCAGTAAGGGATTTTAATTTATCAAATCCAAACATTAATCCAATCATGGGGAAAATACACATACAAAATACATACTGTCTTCAAAATAATCTAGATGTTGTTTATATAGTTCTGGGCTGTTGAAATGTTTTTCAGCTTCATTTTTTCAGTAATTGCTGACACGTCTCTTCAGCTGAATTTTGAGCTAACTCCTCCTGCTTGTAACAGCTCAGATTTCACACACACACACCCCTGCAGTGAGGTGTTACCCTCCCTCTCATCACAGTTGTGTAGCTGGAGAAGAGAGTAAGAGAGTCAGGCACAGGGACTGAAGAGTCATGAGTGAGGAACTGCTTTGTTTCTCTCATGCCCATATTGGTTGGAAAGAATTGTCTCAGCAAAGGCACTTTTTTTTATTCTCATGAATTTTCTGAAATAGATTTTAAAGAAGGCTTACTACATTATACTGTGTTATAGATATCCTATTTTTGTGATTCTTCCTGTTAGGTCATGGGTTTATTTTGTGTGTTAAATGTGATTTGGCTGTTAAGCCTGGATGTTTAGAAGACAGCTGACAGTTCAAGTTCTAGTTTTAAAATGGGAATTCTGTCCCCAATTAACACGGGTGTTTTTTAAAAATCTTACAGTATGAAATGACTTCTGGGCTAACAGAGTTGTGTTCATGTTGCCTGTATCCTAAAGCTGTGACTAGGTGGAGTCCTGCTTATCACTTTGAATCTTGTGATTTGCGTAACAGACTTAAACAGGTTTGGTTTGTGAGCATGGCTCATAGCTGCTCCAGGGCAACCCACAGAAGAGTGCAGCCTAGTTTGCCTTCTTGCCTCTGTTTTGCTCTGTGAGCTTACTATCAGCAAGATAATGAATGCTTGCGTTATTTAACATCAGGCTAAGACAAGAAAGAAGGTGTGACTTGAGGTTCTCAGAAAATTGCCATATTATAAAGGGGGGTTTTTCTGGTGGGTAAAGGAGGTTTTATGTATTGCAGATGAGCGGTATGCCTGTACCAAATTACACCACATGTTACAGTCCTTCCTCTGCCACTTGAGAGACTGAAAACCTCCATTCTGAAAACAGCAGTGCATTCCAGCCATGACATTAATGTGTGGGATTATCCACTAGGCACGTATGGGCTGTGGGATGCATGAGCTTGTGAGATAGATGGAAAGTGGAAGTCAAGCATCCAGCATTCTCATGAGGTGCAATTAATTCTTGATTCATATTGAACCAAGCAGAATAAAAGGGCCACAATCCTTGCAAAAGTTATGCATTGAAGGTGATTTACTGATCCCAACATCTTTTGTTTATCAGTTTGGAACTGGAAGTTATATATATATATACATGGAGTAATGTTTATAGGTATGGCTAAAGAAGGAAAGGAGAAGGTAAAAACACTCACTCACTGTAGGATGGTGTTTATCCCAACTTTCTGAGCTCTGCAGTGTATTCTGTTGCCAGGAATGTCAGTCAAGCAGGAAAAATTGAAGTTGATTTCTTTTGTGCAACAGCTGCAGAACCAGGAGATGCTGAGGGCAATGGTGAAGAAAGCAGAGCTAGAAATCAATGGCAAAGTGATCGAAACAGTGAAGAGGCTTGAAGATCCTGTGCAGCGACAGCGCAACCTGGTGGAACAAGAGAGGCAGAAATACCTCAGCGAGGAGGAAAAGATTGTAAAGAAGCTATGGTGGGTTGAGAAACCTCTTCAAATTTATTGCTTTTGCCTGTCTTTTTCTTCCATAGAGTAGAAACTTTTACCACTGCTTTCAGGTAAATTGCATATGTATATAGTGTTTTAGCTATGTGTCCTTGCTGTGTATCACATTGGCTGTAAAACTCTGTGTGTGTTGTTCAGTTCACTGGTCCTGACTGGGAGTCCTTCTCTGCACAGCCCACTGGGTAAATCCCAGCAGCACCAAGAGTTTCAACCTCTTCAGAAGTCCCCTGTAAAGGGAGGGATGGCTGTGAGGACTGTGCCCACCCCTGTGTTCTGGAAGCCTCTCTCTATCCTAGTTCTCCCCTTCAGCCTTATGTATTATGCTTTAGGGAAGGAGGGGGAAATTTCCTGAAGAGCAAAGGGATTCAAAGGAAGATAATGAGTTTGGCTTTAAGTACTAAAATTGCATTTCAATACTAAGTGCTTTGGCTACTGCAGGGGAGAGGTGGGGAAAGCTCAAAAAGAGGAGTGACGTTTTTAATTACAGTCCTCAATGCCAGTCCTTGTCTAAAATGAACTCACTGAGGTTTCCATCTGCTTAACTGTGTACCTTATTTTGTTGTTATGTAAAGGCCCTTTGGAAGATTCTGTTTTTTTTCCCCAGAACTTTGACCCACCAGGACTGGTGGGATCAAGTAATTTGGTTTAGTTCAGGGTCAGCAGGAGACAAGATAAAGCTGAAATTAATAAACAGTTTAACTAATTCTAACACTCACATTTGTAAGATGTTATATAACTAATTACTTCTCATTGCTGCATTTATCTCACATCTGAAGAATTGCTTCATAATAAGTAAAAAAATTTCTAGTCAGCTTGTCAGGAAATTATGACTGAAGAGCCATAGAGTACAGATCCTGACAGCTGAAGAGAGTAAATCCTTCCTGTTGATCAATAAGTTGTCAGATTAATACTTCTTGTAATAAAAAGGTGCATCTGTAAAGAGAAGGTTTGGTGTTACTAAGGGAGAGTCCCGTGAAGAAGGGTTGAATGTGCAATAATGGTTCATGCTGGTGTAATTAATCCTCTCAGTAATGACCTTCCTGTTCCTCACTTCACTCCTGTGTACCCCGTTGCCAAGTTCCTGGATTGTCTGATCTCTATGGAAAGAGCAATTTGTGTGGTGGCTGTTTATGGCATTGCCTCATAAAATGGATACAGAGTGAGGTCAAGTGCCAGTGTCATTCTCTGTTACAGCTGTTCATTAAGGACAGGACTTGGATTGCAATGGTTCTGTTTTACCAGGTTTTGGAGGTTTTCCTGTTCCCAGAGTTTCTGCTACTTCTGTGCTACTTCATTTGTTAAAGTTAAGGGAAAATTTCTTAAATCATTCAAATGTTATTTCACCTCTTTTAGAGATGCTAGAAACAAACATTTACTTTTAATCAGTTGTGTCCAATGAGGTTTCTTTGTCATGTATTTGCTCATTTGTAGGGTCAGACCTGAAAAAAAAGCACATCTGACAACAATAATTTCAACAGCTGATGGCTGTTCATAGTAAGAGCATACAGCACAAAATTACACATCAAATGTCACTGACATTACTGAGAAAAAGGTTAATATTCTTTATAGGCATTTACAACTAAACTGATCCCACTGCAGATATACAAACAAATGCAAAGCAACAGGGCATAAAAATTGTCATTTTTAGGATTTCAACTGTCACCCTCTTGATCTTTCCTAAATCATAAGACTAAATCAGTAGACTGTCTTTATGTGAGACACTGGAGCCTAAGGATTACTGCAATACTCACAAAAGTGTATTTACTACTCTTAGGTGGTAAATCTTATCTTAAAAAGTCCTTCCTTCTGCAACTGAAGATTATTGCTTGAGCAGGGAGGTAGGACCCGATGACCCACTGTGGTGCCTTCCAACCTTACCCATTCTGTGATTCTGTGAAATAAGGAAATAAACATATTGGCAGTTTCATGGGGCAAACAACAGAAATGTTGGTTTCAAAGCAAGCATTCTGTTGAGCAGAAAGCTTGCTCAACAGATTCATAATGGTGCCTACAGAAGTGTGCCTATGTGTGTCACAACTGTAGCAGGATTACAGTTCAGAAGGTATCTAATGAAACCTGTTAAACACAGTGTTTATGTACACTTGTGACAGTAAAATACACTGAATTAAATGTGTATTTAATTTTTTAATTAGGTTTATTTATTATTATTATTATTATTATTATTTATTAATTAGGTTAATTTATTTAATTTGGTTTTTTTCAATCTAGTCTTTTGACTCAGCATTAGAGGTGTTATATATAGCACTTGTAGATACTAGATTTAAGATTTACCAGATCAAGGACAAATGATGATGTTATGATACATTGAGTAATGAAGTATATATGTCATAACAAGCGTGTTAGATGTGTGGCCACTCAATATTGTACATTTTAACCACTTTAATAAAGGGAGTTATAAGCACAGTATTTAAATTGTAGCCACATCCAATCTGTTCAATTGGATACAATCCATAGTAGCTTACAATTTATACTTTGTTAGGAAAAGTATCAGATTTTTTTAAATAACAATAATAACTATGGTCCATGAAAGCAAAACTTCACTTGGCAATCTGGGAGAACTACTAGTAGCAGATATTTGGGAAAGCGTATCAGAAGAATCTCTTTTGTTTGTTTTTGAATTGTTCATCTCTCTTAAATAATGGACAGCAGAATATTCACCCTTGCCATGTTAGTCATTATGTTATAGGCACTCCCTTTCCACTCCCTTTTCCCCCACTCATGCCTTTTCCAGCCCGGGAAGTCTCAGTCTGCTTAGTTAACCTTCTTCTAGAGGCCTTTCTCTACATTTCATCATCCTCTTGCCTTTCTCTTTGCCCTTTCTAGCTCTGGTGCACTGCTGTGGATGGGGATGGGAGACAGGAGAGCCCTGCAGCAGCTTTGTCTGATGGAGGCACACCATGACCTCGTGCATGGTGTGATCTCCCTGTCCTCATGTGCCACAGGAGCTTTGCATTAAATATCCAACATCTCACTCACAGTGGATGACCATCAGTTCTAAGGTCATCACTGTATATAAAACCTTAGGGTTTTGGGAAGGTATTGGTTTTAGATGGGGTTGATTTTGGTTTTATTTCTCCTCTTCATTTTACAGGTATTAGGAGGTAATTTCATCTCTGATGTTTTCTGGTCAGTTAGTACCACATGGCCCATCTGCAGTCCTGTGCAGCCACCTTTCATTTACATTTCCCTGAATAATATAGTAGCCTTTTGAGATTTTTTTTTTTTGTTATATTATTCATCCTTTTTTTTCTAAATTATTTATACTATGTTGAAAATCACCAAACCTAGCAGTGGTCCCTGTGGAACCCACCAGCAAAGTGCATTCATTGAGTTAGCTGTTCATTGATCCTTTATCTTTACTTCAGTGCTTTATCCAAGAATTTCCTCTTGTCCCATGGCAACTATGCATTCTTGAAAGCTTTTCCTCAAACACCTTGCTGAAAGCCTTTTGCAGTATACTTTGTCCCCAAACTTCTGTTGTTTGTGGATTTGTGAGACTTACCTTCATTTTACACAAGCCATGTTAATTCCTACCTAACACAGCAAATTTATCCATTGTTTATTGATTCTTTATTGTTTATTCTGTATTTTGATACCTATCCATCACACGTGTCTAAGTGCCAGTGTCACCAGAATGCAGTTCCCAGAATACCTCCATACCATTAAAAAAGTTTTATTTGTATCACTTATTACACTTTCCACTAATCTGGTTCCAAAGCAATTTTATTCAAGAAGTTACATGCTTATCATTAATAGTTCAGCTGTTTCAACCTCAGGTTGTTATAGAACTCCTGGGCAAATGCAATCTGGTCTGGGTGATTTGTTACCACTCTTTTTGTCAGATGTTTTGTAGCCTTTTCTACTGATACTGCAGTCTGAGGCAGATCCTCTGAGGCTTTTTTTGCCTAAAGAGAGATCTCAGCACAAGGGCTGCCTTGGCTTCCCCATGTAGAATATAGATGTAGAAAAATTGTTTATCTTATATCAGCCTTCTGAAACTGCATTAATGTGCATGTCTTGCTAGTTTGCTCAGGTCAATCTGTAAAGCCAAGTGTTTCCTCCAGTGAGAGAACAGAAATTCTAGAGACTGTTTCAGTCTTTGGGTCCTAAGGGATGAAGTTTCTTTTCCCTTGCAGTTAGCGACATGAAGCAGTGCAATGTGGTCCTGGGTAATTTTAGGATCACTTGTCTTGTTTGACAGTATATGGAATCAAGGGGATTTTTGATGACCCTTCCATTTCTGCTCAAAGAACAAAGGGGAAAGTGGGCCACTGTCAGCTACCTCAAAGTCCTTCAAGCATTGTAATATTGTTCTTTGTTTTCCTTTCTCTTCTTTCCACACATGAACAAATTTAGGCATCTTTCTTCATCTGTTTTATTGCCTGGTAGATGTAAATATTTGAGAAGCTGCTTTTCCAGTGCTGATCTACAAAAGGGAGGAGGGATACCCCATGATTCCCAAAGCAGCACTGCCCAGCCTCAGTGCCAATACCAGGGCACCAGGGCTAGGGAGGATGCATGACTGCAGAGTGCTGTGGTGTGTTCTTAAGTTTGTTAGTTTGCTCCCCCCATTTTCTGTATTAAATGGTTTCTTCCTTTCCCAGGACCCTGTCAATTAGGTTGCTATGGAAATGAAACTGCTCCTTCCCTGGTTTCTCTTATAAAGTGAAAGTTGTTTCCTCCTTGGGCTCAGTCAATCACTCCTTTTCTCCTCCCAGGTTTCGAGAATTTTCTTTTCTCTGGGAGTTATGGTTGGCTGTAGCCCCGGAGCCCCTCCTATGATTTATAACAGTTGGTTACTTTAGTATATCAGTTATGTTTCGTACCTCCAAATATGTATTTCTATTGGATAGCCGGGTTTCCCTGCCTTCTTCCCCCCCTTTTCCCTTAAAACCCTCTCCTGCCCCCTGTTCGGGGCCATTTGCTGGGTGTTTCCCCTCCTTGTTGGTTCTTCTGTAATAAACCGACAGTTTACCCCCAGCAAGTAATCGCCTCCTAATTCGTCTCTCACCGCGCTGCTCCGAGCTATCACCCAGCTCAGCCCAAGGCCAAGACGCCGAGGGGGGCTGCTTTCTGATGCGCAGGGGCCCTGGCCTTCGCCCCTCACCAGATAGCCGGATTCCAGGGCCGTGGACGCCCCCGCGCAGCAGAGCACTGTCCTGCAGGGCAGGAGCCCTTGCCTTAGTGACAGTGACAGCAGGCCACATTCTTCCTCCAGCTCTGTTAGAGTGTGTCTGTGCCCTTTATTGCAGAGACAGAGGCAGCAGATACCTGCATTTTAGCAGCGTCTGTGACTGGAAAAACACCCTTAGAAGTGTTCCCTTGCTGCCATCGTGTGGTCCAGTGGATTGTTTCCTGCAAGCCTGCTTATGCTGGGAGGAACTGGGACTCCCACAGCTTTCTGAAGGCAGAGGCTTTGGGAAAAGTGGTCTGAAAATGGGAACAGGATCATTTACCTCCACTTGTTTGTGATCTGTTCAGACACAGCTTATGATTCTCCATTCAAAGTAATTTTTTTAGTTTCTAAAGTTCTTAGTTTTGGATTGAAAGGAACTCTGCTGTGCATGCTTAATGTTCAGGTGCTGATCCTGTTTCTGTTCCTGTGTGTATGAGAAATATTGTTTGTTGTGTTGCCATGGACTGTTCTGTAGGACTGTGTTTCTGATTTAAACAGACCTACATGTACAGTAGTGCTGTAAGGAATTTTCTTTATTTTTATTCCATTACTGGCCACCTACTTTTCTTCCCCACTGAGATGGGTCTGGGAAATGCCTGGCTTTGCATGGCAGTGGAAGGGAAATATGTGGAAATGCAAGACTTGCAGATGGTGCAGAGAGCAAGCTTCTCCCACCCCTTTCCTGGCAATCCTCTTGTACCCTGATTCTCTTACAGCAGTTGCAAAACTAATCCCTGATGGATGCAAGAAATGATGCCCAAGATTAGGTTCAAATAAGTGGCTGATTTGTCAGTTCAGAGTTTCCATTGCAATTTTTTCTATCTGCAATTAAAATGTTTCCTAGAATATTCCTGTGAGTAAATTTGGTATCTTAATAGAAGTTAATTTCTCCTAGATACTCAAGAGATGATCTTTTTAAGGTGTTTACATGGGTGTTTGTGTAGTTGCCCATAAAGCATCTCAGGGTTGGGGGTTTTTGACAAACTTTTATGTAGCTGTGGAAAACTTCAGCCACAGCAATGTTATCTCAAGTTCAAATGGGAGGAAGTGGCTCCTTCCCAAGCAAAAACAGAGTTTATGTGTCTCAAGTATTGCAAAATTCTATGTGAAGTATAAGTAGACTGGAAAAAATATTGGGAAAGGTGAGAAGGAAGCATCAGATGGAGCTGGAGTGAGCACAGAATGGCAGTGATTGGAAAAAACATCCAAAGTGATTCACTTTTTAATCCAAATGCTGAGCATGGGCTGCACGCAATGCACACTTGCTGTTTCAGTCTGGCTGTTCATAAAAACAGGATCCTGTGTCCTGTCTAGCAGTACCTGGCAGATAAACAAGGTTGCATCAAGAGGCTTTTGGTGCCAGGTTTTGGAATGTTTCTTAACTGTTGGGCATTCCTCTGTATGTCATCAACAAAGAGAAAACACAAGGTGCAAACCAGTACTGGATGTAGTGACACAGTGTCTATCCCCCTGCAGCGCTTGTATCCCCTGAGGGCTGTTCCTGTGTTTCACCAGCCCACCTGCCCTTTGTAGCACAGCTGCCCTGAGGTCAAGATCTCTGCACATTGCAGTCTGTCATAAAAATCAATGACTTGGGGTAGCTGCAAGCCTGTTCCTGTGCTGTGAATATCCAGCATTCTCACCTCCCTTCATGGTATCCTGTCATTTGTTTAGCCTGTGGTGTCAGATGTAAGGGGGCCACAGTTGAAGTTTCTGGTTTAGTTTACTCCAATAGTTTACATATATTTGCTTGCAATATGAAAGTCCTGCCTAAATTGTCTGTCCATGTTATTTCTTCTGCCAGTGAGCTGGAGACATTTGTTGAAGACCTGAAGAAGGATTCTGCTGCTTCCAGCAAGGCAGTTACACTGAAGGACGTTGAAGATGGAGCCTTTCTTCTGCGTCAAGTGGGAGAAGCTGTTGCTACCCTGAAAGGTATGTACTTTTCCTTTTTACTTGTGTTTCTTTTCCTTTAACCACACAGAACAGTTTTGCCTTTGATCTGGAGGCATTAACTTTCAAAAAGATTTAAAGCTGGGATTAGGGAGCATGCTGCATGGCCCCTGGAGAGAGATAGACATTCAAGTAATTGACATTCACCCAATCGTCTCTTACTGCCCAGGGCTCTCATAATTTCCTCCTCAGCCTCACAATTGTTTTCCTTGCAGGAGAGTTCCCCACATTGCAGAACAAAATGCGAGCGATCCTGCGGATTGAGGTGGAAGCTGTGAGGTTCCTGAAGGAGGAGCCCCACAAGCTGGACAGCCTGCTCAAACGAGTGCGCAGCATGACCGATGTCCTCACCGTGCTCAGGAGGTGACTTCTCTTCTCTTCTCTTCTCTTCTCTTCTCTTCTCTTCTCTTCTCTTCTCTTCTCTTCTCTTCTCTTCTCTTCTCTTCTCTTCTCTTCTCTTCTCGAATTTCCTCAAGCAGGGCTGAAATAGCTTTTGGGTTTGTGGTCTCCCCCTCACCCATGGCAAATGTGAGAAATTCAGCTTGCTTGCAGTATTTATAGATTAATCTTAAAGCCTTCTCAAGGGAAATCAAATTAGCCTTTGCTGTGCTCTATGCAGTGAGTCCAGCAGCCTCAGTCACTGAGATCTCACAAAATTGAGACTAGATGCCTCTCAGGTCAGCATTTCCAGATCTGGGAAGTGCTTGGATGAGAGAACTTACAGTGGCAACAGTCTCATACCTGAGCTAATTAACTTTTGGTGTTTACAGCAATTTAAACTAACAGAAACATTCTCTGACACTGAAAGGTTCATTCTCTAAAAGGTAACAGTAAGAAATAAAATAGGAAAATAGTGTAAGTGGGTAAAGTTATTCCAAAATTTCTGAAAGAATAGGCTTCAAATTCTTTTTCTCTTCTTTGCAAGGAACATGCATTAGAGAAAGCAGAAATAGTAGATAAAGATTAATGTCCACTAAGTGCCAGTGTTTAGCCATGTTTGTCAGAATATTTGAACAGCAAATAATTGCTGATTTAACTCAGTGGACATTGGGTTTGATTCCTGCTCAAAACTGCAAGTGGTGGTGGTCTCAGTTTTAGTTCAATTACAGGGAAATGTAAATTATGAGCCTGTTGTCACTACCATTATTGTAAGGAATGTAGTGTTGCCAGTGTTTCTATATATCCTGGAGCATCTGTAAAATGGATTTGGCAATACTGGCAGATGGATAAAATGGTTTATGTAACAGGTTTTCTAAGAGCCATCTCTTGTTTTTCCATGCAGACAAATGTCTATATCCTTTCATATTAGTTTCTTTTCTTAAAAATTATTACATTTATATCCTGTCTTGCAAAGAAAAATAGAACAATAAGCTATGCATACCAAAGTTTTACCAAATTTTTTGCAGCAAAATTGCATATTAAGCCTCATAAAGTCTGTTTCAATAATGGGAAAACTCATGGCATTTGATGGCTTGCAACGCTCAGACATTTCACAGCTAGCTGCCAGAAATAGTTGCTTCTTTATGTCCTCAGCTCATCCTACCCCACAGTCTTGACAGGAAAGACCTTTATGTGATGCAGAACCTTCATTTGAGGCTCTGTTTTGACGATGTGCCAGATTGCTGCCTCTCATTATATGTTGCTTCACTTTTCTGTGCTTCTAGTGCAGGAACATCTTATTTAGCTAGATACATTGTATACAGTTTAATCAACTGATTTTCATTCTCACTCTAAAATCAACCCACTGTAACTCCTGGTTTGGTGGGAAACTGCCAGTACATCACTGAAGGTTTGTAAGCACCTTAGAAGGCAAAATCATCTGAGTTAGAGTATCCTCTTTAAAATTCTGAGCTCCTGGCTCTGAGAGAAAGCTATAAAATCATACAGCTGAGAGCATCAGGGAAATAAAAAGCCACTATTTTGATTGTTTTGACTTTGGTGCTTTTTCTTTGCATGAGTTGATTGTTGCATATTGCTCCTGACTGGTCTGTGTGATGACCTTGTGCTGTTGTGTTCCATTTGGCTGGGCAGACACGTTACAGAAGGACTGCTGAGGGGTGTGGATCCATCCCAAGCCGTGCAATACTCTGCCATGGAAAAGCCCACTGCAGCTGACACTCTGAAAAACCAGGAGGAGCACAAGCCCACGCAGGGACACGCACAGCAAACCCTCCCAGCAGTCCCATCCGAGTCCCAGGTGTCATCAGTCAAGTCAGAAGTCATCCCCTTCTCATCCATGACCGTCCACCACGTGCAGAGCTCTCCTGTTGTCATGCACCAGTCCCAGCACTCGGCAGCCCTGGTGCCCCACGCCCAGGGCTCTCCCTCTGCAGGCTCTCACAGTGAAGCTGTGCCCACATCTGGCCACCCCTCAGCCAGCCCAGCCCCGCCAGAGCCCATGGCAGGAGCCCAGCCCACAGCAGCCACACCAGCAGCACAGGTCTCTGTCAATGGCAGCACCATGCAAAGCCTTTTCATTGAGGAAATTCACAGTGCAAGTAGCAGAAATCGAGCTGTATCAATTGAGGTACGGTGTATTCCACTCAACCAGCTGTCCTCTCTCTGGGTCTGAGCTCCCAGTCTCACTCTTGAGGCTGCAGGTGGGACTTTGCAAATGCATTCTGGGGCTTTATGTACTTAACCCCTAATTGCACTGTACTTCTGAAGATACCCTCTGATTTTGTCCCTGCTCATTGCAGAAGGGTTGGACTAGGTGTCCTGTAAAGATCCCTTACAACCCAAATCATTATATGATTTTAAATGTAACGGAAAAATTACATGTAACCAAAATTAGGTAGCTGTGTTCTTAAAATTATCTTTATTGAAAAAAATCAGAATTCTTTTTTATCAATTTTAGAATACCTTATTTTTGATCAATAGCATATAATTCTCTGGCAACACTTGCATACGTGGATTTCATTCACTCTTTAAATCTCCATATCCCTTACTATGGAGAAGTAAAAGTGAAAGAGTGTGAAGCTCCAGTGATTTCCAGAGGGAAAACCCAGAGGTGAACTGCTGTGGCTTATTACAGACAGGCACTTTAATCACCAGTGTGATGTAGTGAGGCAGAGACCCAGATTTAAATTTGGCCTTTGTTCCTTTAGTGAGTGGTGCCCACTGTCAGTCTGCCATATGTTTGTGTCAGTTCTACCACAGTACAAGTCAGAACAGTGTGCAATTACTGTTCATGTATTTCCTTTAGTTGCTGACTAGAATTGAAAGAATCTATCCATACTGACCTGTAATGTTTACACATGGAATTTATTTTTAAGTAAGTGATCACAATGGAAATCAGGAAAATAAATAGATGCTTTACTGATTTTGTCTAGAAAGCTGAAAAGAAATGGGAAGAGAAAAGACAAAACCTTGATCACTATAATGGAAAGGAATTTGAAAAGCTCTTGGAAGAGGCCCAGGCCAATATAATGAAGTCCATTCCTAACCTGGAGATGCCTCCCCAGCCAGCAGCCCTGCCTAAAGGAGATGCGGCAGAAAAGCTAGAAGTGTCAGGTAAGATTTGCTAGAGTAAAGGGGGCTAAAGAATTGCATATCTGGAAAGGAGAGGTTATTTTTCCTACCTTCTAGAATGTTTTCAGTTTGTAGATTGCTGTAATCTTGAGGAAGGACAAAACAATCTCTGAATACACAAACATGTGCTTTAAAAAGCAAGAATAACTTGGTGTGTATGGATAGAACAGTGGTAAAAACTGGCAATTGCAAGGAAGATCCAGGTTAGGCATTAGGAAAATATCATAAAGATAAGGCAAGTGAAGCACTGAAGCTGCATGAGGCAGTGAGGAGGATGGAAGGTCCCCATTACTGGACAGAATGGTTTAGACTAGCACTGAACTAGAATTACATAGGTAGAACTACTTAGAGGTAGCAAGATGGTGAGATGCCCTTCCAGTCCTATTTCTTTCACCATTTAACATACAAATCCATGTCTGAATTTATTCAAAATCCAAGGAGCAAAAAAGATGCCTCAGCCAAACCTTGGATTTATCCCATTAGCCAAACACACATCAGCTGTAAAATTCTTACTCAGCTGCATATGCAAGTCCATCCAGCTCAGTCTCTGACAGGCAATTGCCGATGCTGTGTGTGGGGAGCACAGAACCCAGCTGCCTTCTGCAGTCTGCTAGGAGTATTCCAGCACCCCCATGGGATTTCAAAGGGAATGTCCAAATCTCCTCCTCTTCGTATCCATTTTGGAACTTTATCCAGCAATTCCTCTACAGTTGTACAATTTGCTTCCTCTTGCTGTGGCAGCAAGCTCCCATCTTCTGAGGGAGCTTTCCTTCATCTCTTTTTAACTGGTATCACACCAGCTTCACTGAGTTCCCCATAGCTCTAATATCCTTCAATTTGGCAAACAATAGCTCTTCATTTCCTTCATAAAATTATGGAGGCAGTGGATATACCTTTATCATGTCCTGGAGCTCTCCTGGAGTGGGAGTGGGCAGCTCTCCTGCCCCACAGACTTCAAACTCTGAATTTCCAGCCTTTCTGGTCCCTCCACCCCAGCCAGCTGCTCCCTCCCCCAGAGGCTAGATTAGTTACCCTTGTTTAACCCCACTTTGTCCTTCTGGAGCTCTGGAGGTCAGAGCTGCCTGCTGCACTCAAGGTGTTGGCATGCCAACATGGTAAAAAGCTGAAAAACAATGCCCTAGGGGTTGTGCAGACAAATTCATATAGAATTTGGAAGGAGTGTTTTCAGATCCAGCATTTTGTTCTGGGTGTACCTTTGACACTGCCAAGTTTTGTCTACTTGGATGTTTTGCAACATACATGTTTAAAATAAATTCTGTTGAACCTCATAAAATAATTTTAGAATTCTGGCACCCTTCAGTGAGATTACTGGCTATCAACACTATTAGCTTGTATAATGTGTGGCATAAATAGAAGAAGTCAGTGAAAATAAGTACCATATGGGTGCAGTGAGCTGTGACATCTTAAAAAGTGCAGAGCACAGTAACTGAGAAGTTTTTAAGTTGCATAGTTAACTAATCCACTCCTAAAGTAACAATTTTGCACAGTGTGCAGCCAGCAGATTTAAGAACAAGTTTTATGAGATTGAGACATTTGCCTTCTGTTGTGCATAATGAGTCCTACAATAGTAACATAAATAGAGGAACAGCAAAACTTTCCCTTAATATCTGATTAAATATCTCACATACCACTCAGCTCTTCTATGACAGGATGAAAAGTTCAGTTCCAGTCTGCTGTAGACTTGAAAACTGAGCAGCATAAGAAAATACAGACCACCTATCTACCAACACAATACATAAAAAATTTTGGCCATAAATGAGCAGAGCTCATTGACTCAACTGCAGAACCCAGAAAGATCATGTTGCCAGATTGTGTTGTCTCATCCATTCTCCACACAGAACCTCTCCCAGTGAAGAAACTTTTTTTGTCTCTGCAAAGCACAAAGCAAAGTAAAATCACACACTTTACACAGTTTTCCACATGACTCTGTAAACATTTCTTTAATGTCTTGACTAAGACATTGTATCAAGACTGTTCCATGAAAAATGTAATTTTTTTCCTAGCATGTACATTAGAAATTGGTCTCCTTCATCTCTCTTTGTGCCTTCATATGTGAGAATGCCCTGATTTTTGCAAGTGGTGAGTGATCAGTAACTTCCATTAAAGAGAGTTTATCTGACTGCAGAGTCTGCCTCAAGGCAGGCATTATTACTTAGAAACCTTTTGGATTTGTTTTGGTACAAGTAGAAGTCTGTATGGTGAGAGCAATTAGTTCCCATCTCTCTGTGCCTGTTGAAAAATTCTGCAGTTTAGTGAAACACCTGGTGACAAACAAGTCCCATTTTGTTCACCTGGTGCTTAGCCCTTTGGCACCAAAGAAGGTTCCATAATGTGAAGGTTTTGTTCATGCGCAGTCTCAGGCTTAGTGAGTTAAATTTGTTCATTTACTCCTTTCTCTTTAAATTTGCCAGAGGGAAAAAAAAAAAACAGAATAATATCTTCCCTACATTTTTTTTCCTCCTAAGTTTTTTTTCCCCTTCCCATTTATATTGGGGAAATAGAATTGCTTAGTAAATTGAATGGCAATCCATCTTTGAAGTTTTATGTGCAGCCTAGTGTCACTGCACTGACATGAGCAAACCCCATCACAGCCTCTCCTTAGTGACTCCAGCTAAGGGATGTGAGAGGGATTAGCCTTCAATAACCAGTGCACCTGCCACACTCAGTGGCAGTATTTCTTGCCTGTGTTTTTATCTCCCATTTTGAGGATGGAGATGGATAAGTGTCTCAGAGATGTGAATGAGATGGTAGGAATCATGTTTTCTTTGTGCCTTCTGTGTCTCTCATCCAACCTTGCTCTTATTAAGTGTGAGGAAAAACTTGGAATTCTTGCAATCAGGGTCACTACCAGTTTGAGGGTAATGGGTTGTGCCCATTAAAAGGAGTAGGGATTTGCAAAAGCCCTACATCATAGTCTGCTAAAGAACATCTTAGAGAATTACTCTGATTTTACAGCAGAAGTACATCTGATGTAATTAAAAACTGAGTGATGTGTGTTGACCAAAAAAGTGGTCTAATGTAAAGTGCATCTGGAAATTCACTCCTCTTGCAATCTGGCAAGTGAGTGCCAGATAACCAGGGAGGGAGATAATACAACTGAGCATTTCTTTAAGCTTAAGCATTTCTTTAAGCAGCTTCAAAGAATGTTTGAACTAAGAAGGAAACAAAGATGAGACTGGGTCAGACAAGGGCTCCATCCAGTTCCCAGGGCTAGCTGGAGTGTTGGAGGAGCCTGACAGAGGCCCAGGAGTGGGCAGTTATGCAATAATTTCCCCAGAGGGAACACTTAGCCCTAAACAGCTGGGTAATCCCAAAAGTAGGATGTTTTGTCTTTCTGGATTATATTTATTCCAGCTGTTTATATAACGCTGAGTAGCTGCAGAAAGGTCATCCTTTTGCTCTTGGAAACAAACACTGTAAACAGCAGTGTGAAAACAGAGGCTGTTGCCATATTTATGATGCTTAGTCTGTTAGCAGAAACACACAGGGACAGGTCGTGAGCTGGGTCATGCTGCTTCTGGAAATAATGCTGTCCAGGGACAGCTGGTGGGGCAGCATCCTCAGGGGCAATGCCAGTTTGCAACTACTCTTCTCTAGGAAGACTCTCCTCAGAAAGCAAGAGCTGGCTCTGCTTGGCCTTTGCATTTGGTATTTGAATCTTCTTGGCTTAGAAAAACATGTGTAGGGCTCTTATATGGTAATTCAAAAGCAAAACTCTGCATTCCTGGAGTTATGGCAAGTTAAGTGAAAACAAATGCTCCCTAAGAAGAGGAGCAAGTGCAGTTGCCTCTGGTGATCCCCTGCCCTGCTCAGAGATGAGAGGACTCGGTGAAATGCAAGGGTGGCATCTCCAGAGTTCAGTCCTTGTGTGAATTTAGCTAGGTTGTGTCCAACTATGAGATGGACAGAACTCTTCAGTTCCTTGCACCTTGCCTGCAGCACCTCCCAGGCAGAGCAGAAAGGTGTGCTGGTTGCTTCAGAATTGCTGAGAGCAATGAGAAGCCTCCAGGTCTCATTGTCTCCGTGGATCTCCTTGCTCTCAAAGGAGGCTGGGGTGCCCTGTCTGTAAGAGGCACCCAGAGCCTTTGCCTTACCTGCTCCTGCACACTGTGCTCTGCTATCCCACTTGTACAACAATGGCTACACCCACATACAGTGGCCTGGAGGAGATGAGTTTTGCTGAAAAATTCTGGGGGAAGTGATCTGGTTTCTCTGTGCAAGGACAGCACTGTTTACTTTCATTCCAAGTTATGTTGATTACCAAATGTGATTCTGTTCATATATTCAGCAACAGAACCTTTTTTCAGACATTTTTTTCCTTTCCAGTGGAGGCAGGTATGCAAATACTGTTTTCCTCTCCTTGCCCTATGCTTACTTTGTGCTGCTCTGTTTACCTGCAGAAGAAGCTGCTGATGGAGAGCAGGATAATGAGAAGCTGAGCAAGTCTCCACCTCCTCCACCTCCACGGCGCAGTTACCTGCCAGGGTCAGGACTGACCACAACCAGATCAGGAGATGTCATCTACACAGCCAGGAAAGAGGCTGCTGCCCTCAAGGTTTGCTGATTCACAGTCTAGGCAGCCAGACTCCTGAGGAGAGGTGGGGAAACAGACAAGACACAGGCTTGGGCCTATAAACCACAAAATAAGTTGTGGCAGAGCTGTGTCCTGGAGAGCTACTGAAACTGCTCACCAGGATGCACTTCTGTTAGGCCAAATGAGCAAGTAAGATTTGATCAGTTCTGTTTACAGGAGTCTTGCTGCTCTTATCTCCTAGCAATGCAGCAGGCAAGTCACAGGCTGCTTTCATTTAGAGTGGTAAGAAGATTAAAAATAAAAAAACAAAGCATGCCTTAAACAGATGGGGAAGATCGGGTCAGATTTGAGAGTGTTTTTACAGAAATGTTGCAAATTAGTTTCTTTGGACTTGTTTTCCCCATCTGTTCTGGGGAAGGAAGTGGTGGGAAGTCCAATTTAGGAAGCTTTTTAATCTGTGAAAATATAATCACATCAGCAGTATTGGTTGCTTTTGAACTGATGAAGTAGCAGGAAGAGGGGCCTTGCAAGAGAGGAGTTGCAGTAGTGCTGAATTTTGGTGTTTACTTTGCATCAGGAGGGCTCAGCTGTGTTATCTGTCTGTGCTCTCTCATCCCCTTGTAGGAGTGCAGTGAGGATGCTGGGCAAACAGCACAATCCAAAGCCCCTAAAGAGGACCAGGCACTGTCTCGGACCACAGGGCATGCTGTAGCACCAGCTGCAAAAGATGAAGAGGAAGAGGAAGGGGATAAAATAATGGCAGAATTACAGGTATGCATTCCTTTTGGGTTGCACATGAGGACACCTGTGCTCAATATCACTTCTAGGGCCTCAGTGCAATTTCCAGCTCAGAACATGAAGGAAAGTAGGTCTGCTAGCCTCACCTGGTACCACTTTGTTGCACTGAGTGGTCACTTTTTGGAAGTACTACCTAATTTTGTCCAAGAGGTCTGGAGCTGAGACAGTGGTCAAGAATGCAGTAGCTGCCACTGGAGAAGCCTGCACATGAAAATGGGACAAGTAAAACATTGGTGTGCATTTCTGTGGTTGTCCCAGGCCTAGTGTTGTTCACTAGTACCAGACTGGTCAGCTGCTGAGAGCAGTCATGTGTGCTGTCCTTGGTGGGAACAGAGAATAACTGGGTCTGCTCCTGGTGGGCTGTGCTATGCTCCAGAGTTTCCCAGTGTTTGAACACTGAGACATTGCCCATTCCCTGGGGTGTGACTGGTACATCACTCTGCCAGTGGCATGGAAGGGTGCTCTCCTGCTGGTCCTTCACTTGGCATTGCGTAGGACAGTTCACTTCAGTGATGAAAATGCTGCAGTAAATGCCAACTATTCCTGCTACCATCAGCTTCAGCCTCCCAGGGGCACCCTCTGCCCTCTGCCATGCCCACCTGAGGAAGGGAGATGTGGACCAGCCTACCTGGCTGTAACTTCTGGTAGTTTAGAGCACTGTCACAACATGAGATGATCCCTGCTGTCCACCTGCCAGCAGGAGGGTTGGTGCTGCCCAGGGGCATTCAGAGCACAGGAGATGTGGGCACTGGGCTGTAGCTGTTAGGTCTGAGGGGTGCACCCTGCTCCTTCCCTCAGCTCCCTCCCACCAGTGCTGTTTGCAGGAGTGAGAGCAGCAGTTCACCCTTGTCCCCCCGTGTGCTGGTGACCAGCGAGGCAGCGGGGCTGGGGACACAGGGGTTGTCACAGCATCTCTGTCTCCAGAACTGAAGGACAGACATAAACAGCTATGCCAGTGAGCACAATGTAATGGAACAAAGGCAACAACACTCTTTGATCAAGTAACAGGTTTGACTGCTTCAACTGAGTTGTATACCTGTAAACATTTTGGTAAGGCATTTGATCAAACATTATACAAGATTCTTATAAAAATCTGGCACCTCAGAGTATACAAAAAAACCCTATTGCAGCATAACTGGGACCTGTCTGCTTTAGAAATCACTGACCTTGATGCAGGTGTTTATAGACAGGTCTCATAGAGAGCAGCAACAGGCCCAGTAGTATCTCTCTGTATTTTCATCAAAAGCCTGGGAATACATTTAAAATCCTTACTGTGTAAAATCATCTTAGTTCAGATCAGTGAAGTATGACAGCAGAGACATGATAGCAATCATTTAATGGTCATAATGCTTTGCTGAATAAAAAGGCGCATGAAGAGCAACAACATATTGGACAGGCCACAACTGCATGCCTTGGAAAGAAACAGGAACTGCAGTAACAAGTTGACAGGAGCTCCCAGGTCAGTGATGTTGCCACAAAATTGTGTCTGCTTGAGGAGTAGATGTGAAAACATGGCGTGTTTTTATGTCTGTGTGCAAGATCAGTGAGATCCACACTGTGCTGCTGCATCCATGACTAAGTATCCATGTGCCTCCCATCTGAAAAGCCTGTTAAGAATATGAAGGTTCAGAAGAAACTTGAGTGCAGTGTGAAGATTTTTAATGTAGCCAGAAAAAGCATCATAATAATCAGTGACTGTAGCACAAGCTATTTGGAGACTATTACAGATATTTCAGAGCAAAGGTGCTAATAAAAATGCCAAAGGGAAATAGCTTTTTTGACACTTAAATTCTGAAGGACTTTAAGGATGCTTTACTCAAACCCACATCACTGGTCTCACAAATGGGTAAGTTGGGGAAAAGTCCATATCCTCTATTGTGAGGAGCAAGACTATTTTTTCTAGTAGTTTCATGTCATCTTAGGTACTCTGGTCTATTAACACATACAAACAGGATGTAATGAAAAATCCAGAAGGAAGTCTACATCCTGATTTTTTGCACTGGATTTTTTCTGTTATCCTTTTCTAATTTTGCATAAACATGCAATACATATGAAGAATACAATATTTAAAGAACAGGCCTGATTCTAGGTTGGGATCAGGGCTATTAGTTTTATGAGTTGCCAGGAATCAAATTTCCCTACTGTATGGTACAACAATGGAATCTTACTGCATGTCACAGTGTGCCTGACTCCTGTGAGCACTCCCTGCTCTTTGCTGTGCCCTGCCTGCACTGCATAGTGATGGTGGCAGTGATAGTTTTACTCTTCCAGATCTGGGAGCCAGCTGGATAGAGAAACTCAAAGGAAGTGAAAGGAGGAGAGCAGAATAAATGGCTGGAAAGTCTAGGCTATGACCTGGAGGATGTGGGATGAGAGGCCAGTGCCCACAAACCCACAAGCTGGGACAGTCAATTTATGGCTCATTATCAAAGACTGTGAGAAAGGCACATTTCCATGTTTAAAGTTTTAATTACAGTTTGTGTGGGAGAAGTGGAATTATGTAACTCTTGAATTATCAGCCATAAGGAAATAGGTGCTGCCACAAGCCCCAAGTTTGTCATGGGCTTCCTACTTGAGTTAGGATAGTCTGTCGCACCTCTGTGGGTCTCCATTGTCTGCAAATTCAGAAATCAAGCTTGTCCTCCTTACAGGGAGCACTGAGGTCAGCATGGTGTTAGAGTCTTGAGAGGCTGGAAGGGATACCCTGGTTCTCTGTATCTGATAGTCTGAAATCTCTATTATTATCTCATGAGCTTACAGAAAACATTGTTGAGCTGTGGCTGTTAAAAACAAGTGCTCTCTTTGTAGTTGGTCACCTCCAGATATTTCTCTGTTAAAGTTCTTGGTCTCCTGATAACCTGTAGTATTTATTTCCTAGGCTTTCCAGAAGTGCTCTTTTATGGATGTAAACTCAAACAGTCATGCTGAGCAGTCCAGAAATGATACACATGTTAAAGACATAAGGCCTGGGACTTTAATGCATCACAAGGAAAAGAAGGTAACAAGTGGCAATTGTAGACATGCCACCCGGTCTTGGCATAACCTTCTTTCCTTCAAAACTAATCTTACATCCTGTGTCCTGTTCTTTTTAACCCCCACCCACCACTGCCCAGCAGTTTCCTTCCTTCTATCTCTGTATGGCTCAGAAATGCTCATACAGAGCTCTGTATTAAACTGTATTTTGTGTCTCATCAGCAAGAGTACAATGGTTGCATGAAGCTTTATCATTCTGTGACATCAAAAGAGGATCTGTCAGTTTCTGTCAGAGATGCTCATACTACTTAGAACATCCTTCCCCGGCTGTTCTGGTGATGGATGGTGAAGCATCTCTCCTAAGCTTGAGGGGAGTTAATGGTTCCTCTCAGTCTCTAGAGTCAATTTGAGAATGTGTGCTTTATTTTGTTTCATTTGTTGGTTCCATAAGTAGTTGTTAGATATTCAGAAATCCCATTCAGTTTATTGGATGACAGAGTCAAAGTGGATGGGAGGAACTTGCCCTTATGCTGAAGGGCAATGCCCAAAATTCAGCCATGGGACAGAAGAGGTGCTGTGTGTCTGGGGCTCTGGGCAGGTCAAGGTTAAATTTCACAGCTGTGCATGGACTGGAGTTGCCAACTGAATTGATTTGACTTAGCATGCAGCCAATGTGCAGGACAAGAAAAGGACAAAAGTACTTCTGCCCTTGCAGACCTTTTTTATGTATAATAATAATGAGTTGCATCACTGCTGGGTTAGGGGGTTGTGCAGGCAGGACAACTTGTCAGCCAAATGCCACTTTGCAATGAAGGTGGGTATGGTGGGGGAGGAGCAGAGCTCTTCAGCACAGCATTTCAACCTTCTCGTGCATTTTGTGTGTGTGTGCAAATGCTGCCAGGTCAGGGCATTGCACTCAAGGACTTGTGTTGGAGCTGCCCAAACAGCAGTTCTGGTCTAAAGCTGCACACAGCTGTCTGGGTGAGGGTACGGGTCCCTTGGTATGAAGGAAAAAGGACAAACTGTTCTGTGTCTATGACAGTGTTATAGAGGAAAAAAAAGTGTGAATTCATCCTCATTACTGCTGTTGTCAGGATGAGAAGATCATATTGTTACATGAAATCCTGGGTCATCACTCAGGACACTGCATATCCTGTAGCACAAACATTTCTTTGAAAGGTGCTGCCAAGTATTTGCCATAAACTGATATTTATTTGAATAACACAGAGTCCAGGAAATTAAGGTTAATGAGATCTGGTTTTGTAATCTGACATGACAGAGTGTTTATTGGCTTTAAATATGGAACATTATGGTCACGATAAAATCATTGAGGAAATGAGTTTTGTTGTGGTTTTATTTTTTAGTAGAAAAGCGGAAGTTCCTAAAATAAGACACCTTGTACAAGGACACTGTGAGGTGTTTCACTGGTGCTTGGAACTAGAAGTGGAACATGCTAAAAAAAGATACACAGTCACCATATCCAGAGGCAGCAAGTGCCTTTAAGTAGCTTGGCCTAATTCTGGGGGGTCTGACGTGTTTGGGACGGGGAGGTGCTGAGCACTGAGCAGGTCAGGGCCTGAGGGGATCACAAGCCCTGGAGTTTGGTTCCCAAAGTGCCTCTCAGCACAATGTGCAGACTGTCAGCCTCCCACCGAGGCCTTGCTGCTGTGCTGGTTTGTGTGAGAGCTCTTCCTCATCTGGAAACATGAGGAAGCAGCTGTTCATCCTTGTACTGCTGAACAAACCTTTGTGGAAGTGTGACTCTGGTGTATGAGTGACTTTTTTGCTTCTGTGTTTTGATTGTGAGTAAACTATTTCTGTAAAATCCTCCAACAGTTCATAAGAAAATGTCACACAAGGTGTAGAAACCAGACCTGGTGAGGCTCTGTATGCATGGGGCGTGCATGCACGGCCAGCCTGGGCATTTCTGCACTGTCACTCATCCATCTCAGTTGGGAGAGCAGTGCTCCTGACTGTTCTGCATGTCTTGATGCTCACATGAGTATAATCTGTCCTTCTGCTGGGTTAGGAGTCAGCTCCTAGTCTCAAGCAAGCAATGTCAGCATTGTTGTTTTTGGTTCACTGCCTTCAGGCACTTGAGGCCAAATGGCTTTCCTTCTTGGTGAGCTGTCTTTTAACTGTAGATTTCTCTCTTAGTCACTGTCCTGGTGTCTCCTCAGGTCAGTTCTTCATCCTGATGATTTGTGTTTGTCCTAAGTTGTCGCTAGCACTTAAACTAGACCTCAGAGAAAAGCCTGGTGTTAGGAAACAGCATTTCCAGGGGTCCTCAGTTGCAAATAAAGAAAAAAGTCCCCCTGAAGTTTCATTGCTGGGAATAAACATACTCATTTTGAGCAGTGGATGACCTCTCTGTTTGGTGTTTGGCATTTCTGCTGTAAGTGAGTGTAGCTCAATGTTTCATTCTGCACTTCCACAGGCACCACAGGGTGTCACTGGTAATTCTGATGGAACACTTCTAATGCAGCAAGGATTTAGAAGTGCTCAGACTAATGAATGTAATGATTCTAATTGTGATGGAGCAGCACTGCTCAGGTGTGACCAACATTAGGAGGAGCAAAATGTAACTTGAAAATCAGCTTTTACTGGTATAAAACTTCCTTTCAAGGCAAGCCAGACTGGCTGTCAGCCCTTTCATATCAGCCTCCTTTTGATGTGTCCCAGCAGAATGTGATCAGATACTGTGAGACTTTGTGCTTCAATCTTACAAAACCATGGTGAGGCTGGGGGGGGTTAGCAGGAAGGTGAACAGGTCATGGAGCACTGTGTTGGAAATAAGGTAATTAATGTGCTTATGCATATTCTGGAGGCCTTGTTAAAACAAGGTAACATCCCATCCTGACCTAATGCATAGCACAAAGCAGTAACATCATGCACTGTTCTGCCAGAATTTGGAATTTTGCCCTGAAGAAAGACAGGAATCAGATGACAGCTTGAGACATGTCTCTGCAGCAGTAAATGGAGTGGTGAGTTCACGAGGTCTGCGCTTCCCCCGAGATTAATCTGGGGAAAATAAAAGTCCTGTAAAGATAAAAGCCCTGAATAACTGAGTAATCCAACTTTCCCCCTTAGGTGTATGGGGCTACAACAGGATCTCCCACAGATAGTGACCATCCTAAAGAGAAGAGGGAAGGGAGAACTGAAGAAGAATTGGGTTCTGATTCATCCAGTACAGCTGACAGTAAAAGTGGCTTTTCAATGAATGACAGTCCTACACTTAGCAAGGGTTTGTTTGTAGACAGTACAGACTATTCTAACAAACACCTTCAGAATATGAGCACAAACCTGTCTGGTGTCAGTTTACCAGAGGAGGACAAACGAAGAGGGGCTCAAGATATTTTAGGATCACATTTTCCAGCCGCTGAGACTGGAAAACAGAAGCCAAACTACAGACTGTCAAGAGATGCTCCCCAGGGTGAAGCCTTGCAGAGCACAGGCAAGCCCACGCCCATCAGCAGCGTTGCCCCTCTCCTGAGGCACATGCAGGAGGCTGCGGGGCCTCAGCCTTCCTTGCAGGAGCAAGAAGTTTCTGCAGGCAGCTACAGTCAGGTCGTGCTGAGACCCAGAGTGTCCAGAGCAAACAGCGTGAGCAGCACTGAAGAGACAGACTCTGCAGCCAGCTCTCCAAGTGAAGACACCCCACCCACAGAAAACATTGCCTTCATGATTACTAAAACAGCTGTCCAGGTGCTCTCCAGCGGGGAGGTTCACGACATAGTGAGCCGGAAAGGAGGAGATGTGCAAACTGTCAACATCGATGCCAGGAAGGATGTGGCATCGGAGAAGGGCATCCCTGAGAACACAGACAGTGAAGAGCCAGTGGTGTGTCTGGACAAAAAGCCTGTCATCATCATTTTCGATGAACCCATGGATATTAGGTCAGCCTACAAACGGCTTTCTACAATTTTTGAGGAATGTGATGAGGAATTGGAAAAAATGATGACAGATGAAAAGATAGAAGAAGAAGAGGAGGAGGAAGAAAATGAAGCACATGAAGTCTCTGAGAGGCAGAAGGAAGAGTCACCAGTAGCTAATGACAGAAAAGCAACCACAGAGCATTCTGCAGCTCATGGTCCCCAGGGGCCATACCTATTTAACCTTCGGTCTGACTCTGCAGAAACCAGACCTCCGGCAGAGGAGGAAAGCACAAAGACAAATTTTAACAAATACCGTCAGATCTATGGGCTAAACACAGATGCAGACTCAGACTCTGCTGATCAGTTGGGAAACAGGCAGGATTCTAAGAAAAAATTTAAATTTAAATTCCCTAAAAAGCAGCTGGCCGCTCTGACGCAGGCAATACGGACAGGAACCAAGACTGGGAAAAAGACATTGCAGGTTGTGGTCTACGAAGAAGAGGAGGAAGATGGGACACTGAAGCAGCACAAGGAAGCAAAGAGATTTGAAATTTCTAGGTCTCAGTCTGAGGAGAGTGATAAAAGTCCTTCTGGGAAGCAAGAGGGCCCCTCTGGAGCTGCAGTGTCCCTGTCCAGGACTGATGAAATTCGACAGAGTACATACAGAACGCTAGACAGCCTTGAGCAGACTATAAAGCAGCTGGAAAACACCATCAGTGAAATGAGTCCAAAACCTGTCCCTGAAAACACATACACCTCTGAGGGAAGCACTGTCCCCTTCTCTGCCCAGATAGTACCAGAGACCCCATCCCGAGAGCATGTAGTGCTGGATGAGAGCCTTGCTGGTGCAGAGCCCCCTGCATCACTCCCAGCCACTTCACGTAAGGTACCTTAGTCTGAGAAATCAAACCTCCAGCTGCTTTCTAAAATCTGCAATAATCACCATTAAACAAGACGGTCTTGTGATTCGTTTGCTTCCTTTCAGGTGGCTTGTTTGGGCTCCCCACGAGGTGTCTAACAGCTAATAGACCATTGGTTTTTGGGGTTTTTTAAAATCTTTGCTGCTGATTGGTGATGGGCAAATGCAGGGGAGCTGGGTCGAATAATCCGCTGTGTGAAATGACAAGTGTCACTGACATGAAATCCAGGCTGATCAGTAGCTGAGCAGTTTTCTCCATGTGATTCTGGAAATTAACACCCGCGGTGTGAAGCTCCTGAACTTTCCCTGCATGTAGTACTGTGGCTTTTTCAGCGCATGGTGTGCAGGCCTCCATTCAGGCACCCTGGCACTGACCACACCTTCTTGTCTCCCCTCCCTGCCCCTCCACTCGTTTCCACAGGGCTCCAGCGCTGCCTCCCAGACCAGCCGGATGCCAGTCCCCATGGCTTCAAAAACTAGACAAGCAAGCATGGAGAAATCAGGCAAACAGCACAAGCTGCAGGATCCACGCCAATACAGACAGGTAGTTTTACCCTAAACCCGGTGTTTGGATGGACATTTCATGTTGTTTGTTTATTTAAAAACTCCAGTAACTGACTGTGATTATACCAAATATCGGATGCCTGAGGTCAAACTGGACATCCTGGATCCTGGGGGCATGACAGTACTGATCTTTTCACCATGCTTGTGCATGCATGTCTGCAATAAAACACCTGCTGCTTTTTTTTTTTTTGGTTGGTTGGGTTTTGGGTTGTCTGTTTATTGGGTTTGGCTTTTTATTTTTTCCTTAATTTATTATTTTAATTTTTTTTAAAACTGTAGTGTTCAGCTGTAATTTTAAGATGTCAACTACCTGTTTACTTTCCATTTGGTTCATGTGGTGGTTCTGTAGGAGAACTGAGAATGTCTTTGCAGGAAGCCCTGGACACTAACCCGCTGGTGTAGGTGGCGGTGGGCGCATTAACCCGCGCGGCATGGCCGACGTAGTGCCTGCTCTGTAACACGTAGGTCGCGCCTTCTCACAAAGCTCTCCTGCCTCTTCCTCTATGCACTCTCCCTTGGGCACTTTGGGTTTTCTACCAGGTCCAGTCCATGGCTGCAGGACTTAGCTCAGGCCTCGAACTGTTAGTTCTGATTCTCTGCAGGGCTGTTTTCCCAGGTCCTGTTGGTTTATCGTGTTACTGGCTTTCTGACAAACTGTCTCCTGACGTCTTTATTTGCAGGCTAATGGAAGTGCTAAGAAAGCTGGTGGGGACTATAAGGCTACTTCTCCTACCCTACCTGCTTCTAAGATCCCAGCCTTTTCTCCCACTTCTGGGAAAAGCAGCTCAGCACCTGCTTCTAGCGGTGACAGCTCTAACCCTCTTAATCCCCCTACTAAAACCTCCATTCCTTCCTCCTCCCTTCTTGCTCCTCAGACAGGTCGCATCCCTTACTCTGCCTCCCTCATCCCCTCTGTCTCTAACGGCTCCTCCAAGTTTCAGAGCCCCACTTACCCAGGGAAAGGTCACCACCTCTCGTTCTCGCTGCAGACCCAGAACGGCCGACCACCCCCTCCTTCCTCCTCTACCTCCCCGCCCTCCTCTGTCTCCCCCCCTTCCCTGAGCCAAGGTATGAAGAGCATCAGGACAATCCACACCCCTAGTTTCAACAGCTACAAGGCACAGAACGGGAATGCCAGCAAGTCCGCCCCATCCACGGTCAAGGAGCCATCCTAGAGGCTAAGCACAGCACAGCTGCCAGGTCACCGAGGCTTTTTGTTCACAGAATCCGCAGCCAATATTTTAACCAGGGAATGTAACCATTTTGTTGTATTGCTGGAGGCTTAATACTAATCACGTGCTAAATACTGAATTACTACACTAGACTAGAGTGAAGCTTTTTGGAAAACAGTTGCTGTTGTAATGATAAAAGAGCATTTTCTTTCTATAGGAAGCAGCACCTCTTAAAAAAAAGTGTGAAGGTGTGTGAGTGAACTTGACTGCGTGTGCACAGTGGTGTACTGAGCATGGGGAATTGTATGGTTAAAAATTTACTAAGTTGTTTTGTATAAAGCTATTTTTCATTATGAGGTCTAGAAGTGAACAGAGATATACTAAAGTGTGATTATATTCAACTGTAAAACTGAAACTAAAATATTTTTCTTTTATTTTGGTGTTATTTAGCTTTGTTACAGATTTCTATTTTTGTCAACGAATGTCATGGTTCCTTTCGAGATCTTTTTGCCAAAACATTTTGATACTATTGTAATGTACATTTGAAAGTAGTATGCTGGACAGTAAACCTCTGCACAAGAAACAGAACAAGACTGGTCTAATGTGTGTATGAGGCAACTCAACTTATTGCACTGCCATTCAGATTATATTTAAGAATTTGACAGACAAGGAAAAAAATAAATTGTTTTACACATATAGATAGTTGCTGATTACTTTTTTTCTTAGCTCAATCCACCCTTTTTCCTTCATTTTTATTTTACTGAGACCTGGTAGCCCATTAATGTATTCCATTGTGAATTTTAAAATGTACACTTCAGTACTGTTCTGTATACTAGCAAACTTTTGTACATATCTATAAATATCTATAAATAAATAAATAAATAAATACTGTATGTGGCTGGGCACATAGAGTAGTTTTACCACACCAAAGTTAATTTTTATGCATGCTTAAAAATATATATGGGATAGGGTTGAAAAAGATGGATATCAGTTAAATAGGAGAAGAGCAAGAAACTTGCATAGCTAATGGTTTTGTAAATAAATTTATTTGTATAACACCAAAATGTAATATACAGAACTATGATAAGCAAAGATCTTTACAAAAATAAAGGGCTGCATGCTTATATATTTGTATTTTGTCACTAGTAACTTTTCGGATGGGCTCAATTGGCTGTTCAGCTGTTTGCCTGAGGGTGTTAAGCCATCAGGAGAAAACCTGACTTGGTTTTCCCTAGATTAAAGCCATACACGGTTATTCATTTCAAAATGGGGTCTTTCAAATTGCTGTCAATAAAAGCATATTGCTGAAACTCCAAGTTAGAAAACCAGCGAGAAAAAAAAAAAATCTTTGAGTGATTGAATGAGGTATCAGCCCTTCCAGCTTGAGGTATTCCTGGTTTTATTTCCCCTTGTGAAAGGAGAAGTTTCCCAGAAGCATCATTCCAAGGCGGTGCCCTCGGAGGGTGAGAATACCCCCGGAGTCTTCCTCAGGACAGAGCACACTCTGCCTCCAGCAGGGGCAGGTGCTGCCATCCCTTGCTCTGGCACCAAAGGCGCTGCCCAGCACAGAGCTGAGCCCAGCTCAGCAAAGCAAACCTGAGGCAAGGCCAGAGCACCCACACGGCCCCTCTGCAGCGGAGCCGGTTCCCTTCCAGCCAGAGCAGAGCAGTGGGGCTGGCGGCTCCAGGGCCTGCTCACAGATGGAGGATGGCATTCCCTGGCTCCAAAGGGAGCCTGCCTGTCCCAGTGCTGCAGCTTGTTACCAGCTACCAGTGCCACAGCACACACACAGAGCACAGCTCTGGCTACCCTGCTCCCCCCTCACACGGCCAAAGTGTAACCTCAGGTGAATGAAGGACTGGACACTTCTGAACAACAGTGACTTACCAACAACTGCTTGTCTGTAGTGACACAGGAGGTGTCCCCATGAGCCATGGCTCTGGCAGGCAAGGTCCCCGTGGCTCTGGCACTGCTCCCACAGCTGCTTCTCAGAGCCTCTGCAGGCGAGGGGCTACAGCAGCACATTCTCTCTATCTGGCTGAATTCAGATATGGACAATGGTTGTGTAATTAACCAATGACCCTGCACAGTCACTGGTGTGCACGGGCAGTGAGGCTGTGCTGTGCTCACTTCTTGTGCTGGTGATGTGAAGTTGCCATCAGGCAGTGAACTCTACACCCACTCGAGCCTCAGCCACATTGTCACCTGCAATTTTGGTGCACCTGCTCAGTGCTGGGGTGCAGCACCCCCAGAAACAACAACAGGCTCAGCCAGCTCATAACCCACTGCACAGGCAGCACTGCCGGTGTCACAAGTCAGGCAATGCTTATTCCTTCTTCATCCTGCTTGTCCAGCAATGGAGTTATCAAACACAGGCAGGGAAGAGCTGTACACAGTCTGCTGCTCAGCAAAACCATCAGGTTTGTAAATAAATTCCTTGGACACAGAAGAAATCAGAACTGGACACTAGTGAAGAACACAGCTTTCCCACTGCAGACTGGTTATGAAAAGCAGTTTTGTGGAGGTGGCTGCCACTGAAGTTTGGGTCAGGCCATGGGACAGGTGCCACTGCAAACTGCTCTGAAACCCAGCAGTGAAGCAGCTGCTCACTGCAGGAGCTCAGTCAGAGCCAGCCAAGGGCTTCATAGCAGAGTGAGCATCATCTCTGTGTCAGCCAGTTCCTCCTGCAGGGAGGGACTGCAGCGAAACCACACAAGGTGACACAGCACAGAGCCCCTGCACTGGGCAGGACACAGGTGGGAAGGCAGAGCCAGAGGGGGTGCATACAGCAGGCAAAGGGAGCGATGTGCAGGACACATGAAGTGTGCAGGGCCAAAATCCATCTGATCCCCACTGAAAGGCAGCCCTTCCTGCAGGCTTGCACACTCATGGATTCAATAGCAGATGGTTTTTTTGAAGTTTCCTGACTGGGAGCCACAGGTACCTGCACCACTTCAGAGTGCATTGCAGCCCAGCTTTAAACCATTCCCCCTCCAGGCAACAACCACACCCCTCTCCAAAGGCTGGCCCAATTAATTGGCTAATTACTATCTAAACGTGAATGGTGTTATGACCTGGCTTTGGGAACAAAACCTGAGTTTTTGTAGTAAATGAGGCCACATTTCAAACTCTTTGGTCCTGCCTGAACTAAGTGCAGAGGCTCTCAGAGGCTGCACAGGAACCCAAGGCCCTAAATGTGCAGCTCAGCAAAGAATTTTCCTCCAGCTCTGCAGCAGCACTAAAGAAGGTATGAAACTGCCTGGACTGTGGCCATGTCTTAATTGCACATCAACAGTGCTGTGAGTGATGCTAATGGGGATCCTAACAAGCCTTTTAAAAATCTTAAAAAGTAGCCACACAGCACCTTCCAGCTACCACACTCAGAAAGGCAGCTCAGACTAAACCACTGATCACCACCGAAGCAGGAATTACTGTTAGGGAGCATTTAAGAAATCCAAACACTACCATTGCTACCAACACATTTTATTATTTCTCCATCTGATCTCAGCTTATCCTGTCCCTAACAACTTGCAGCTTCACAACTGCAAACAGTCCTCAGACCAGAAGTACTTCCCAAGCTTGTCTGAATCCTTCTAATGAAATACAGAAACAAAAAAAAAAGGGACACAAACAGCAATGTTTAGAAATTCTCTTTAAACATAAAAAAACATCCCTGTTTGCTCCATGACCAAACACTGGCACAGCTTGCCCAGGGAAGTTGTGGAGCTTTCATCTGTGGAAATATTCCAAACCCAGCCATAGCTCCAGCCCAGAGCACTCTGCCCTGGCCACACGTGGCTGAGCTGGGGGGCTCAGTGATGCCTGCCCTCCTCACCTGCTCCCATGCCACTGAATCCAGCTTCCAGAGAAACACTGACACCCACCTCAGGACAGTCTATTGTGGGCATGCACCTCCCTTCTTGAGTCAATCAATCAGACTGTCACCCTTCTCTTCCACAGGAAGGGGAAAAACAAATCCCCAACACAGTAAAAAAAAGCACTACAGAGAAAGGTCTGAGGTAGCTGCTGTTAAGATCAGGGCATAGCAACGACTCCTAAAAATGTCTTTTTTCTCAGCTGCCACACTGGCTGAAATTAAGGGTGACCCAAATCTTGGCAGTTTTCAAGAAGCACAAAGAACAGTATTTTCTTCAGGGGCAGCTCAGTAACCTCCTCACCCTGGTAGACGCTCCCTGCATCTCTCCCGCCAGGTCATGGGTTTCCCCTACATGTTCCATGCTACCAGTGCAGCAGCAGAGAGGAGGCTGATGAGTTTAAATAAATTTGTACCTGCAGCACCGTCAGCCAATACAAGTAATGATTTTTGTGTTTGTTTTCTCAGTTCCTAATTTTTCAGATGATCTTGTGTTCATTTAATACAATTACAGAACAACTTTTGTTCTCAAAGACAAAAGCTGACAGCCATGTGTCTGGGTTCAGGAGTAAAATTATCAGTTATCTATAAACACAACAAAATGGGAATTAACCCATCAAAATGGCTGTCAAAGCAGAGGAAGGTGCAGACCCCCAGGCTCCCCTGTGCACCTCCCTAAGTTCACTCCTTCACTGAGAGACCTCTGTGACTTCCTGGGGCTGCTCAGCACACACTCATGACATTCTGAGATAGTGATGGGACAAAATACACATCCAGTAAAAGACAATGGGTACTCACTGATGAACAGCACTGGAGGTGTCGCAGCGCTGTGTTCTGAAAGCCCAGTAAGATGTTCAGGTAGCCTTTACTGCTACAACTGAAACCAAAACCATCCTCGGTTCCCCTGCCCTTCCCAGAACACAGCTGTTCCTCCTGACACAGCACACCCCAACACTGCCAAGGCACCACCTCCCATCTGCTCTGGGATAAAAGGCATTTTGGTTTGCATGGGAACCTGGTATTAGATGCACCCAGTTATGTGGTGAGAACTTTCACAGCGGTCAGCTGTTGTATCTGGGACTTTTCTTCACAGCCAATTTCTGTGATTTCTCAGAAGGATCAAAACCACAGCAGATCAAAGCTCAGGACTGTAACAGTCACTCGGGAAAGAAATGAGGTTTGCCTAAAAGCACATCAGCAAGCACATCCCAGTACCACAGTTCCTTCTCCCTGCAGTAACTGGACACATTGACAGAGGTTTAATCCCCTGCCAAGAAGAAACAGCTTAGGATACAGGGACACCCAAAGTGATGAACAGCTGCTTTGTTTTCAAGTTGGTGTGGAAGAACATATACTGATAGAGTATATGGAAGAACATAACTGATAGAGTTCATACCCAGATGAGTTTTTAGGGCAGAAGAACATTTTTTTAGTTAAAATTATGAAAAGTCCAAGACTCAAACTACAGTATTGTTCTGCCTGGCAGATACTGATGTTCATTCTGACTTCACAAAACCCGCACATTAAACATAAACCCGCTTGCTACATACCTTAGAATCAAATTATGTATAAAAATGAAAATATTTAACCAACTTCATGTCTCTCACCTGCTGACCTGCACAGTGTGGCCCCACAAACAAAAGATTAATGAGAGGTGTCCTTCATCCAGGAGGAACTGCACGTTTGGTGATCCTAAGTGCAGTTGCTGACTGGAACTTAAACGAGACATTTCAGAACCATTCATCAGAAAGAATTCAAATCACACAGAGAGTCACCAAAACAATTTTATTTCCAGTGTTTAAGTGGGTATGCACACAGGCATGATACAGGTTTGGATTCATTAGGTCTTCATGCAGAATTATATTCTCAATAAAAGAAACCAGTTCCATCCAGTATCCACTATCTACACGCCTATGTTACAACATTTATATCAAATCTGGTATCTGAAGAAAAGATACACATGTAATATGTACAGTTAAGTTACTTATTTTACAGAAAGATTAGAAATTCAAGTCACATAAAACTCAAAATCTGTATTAAAATTGGAAATATAAAACTCCAATATTTACTGGAATGCCTAAGGAATGGAAGCTCTGTAGCCACCTGTGTTAACATTTGTAAAATGTAATGAAACTCATTAACAGTAAAATGCATTTATTTGTTTGTAATAAGTTTCTCTAATTTAGCAATATGGCACCCTAACAAACCAAATGAATTTATAATGAGGCACTTGTTAGTGACTAAACCAAAAGAACAATTTTCCTGCATACTAATGCCAGGCCAACTCTCAGTCAGAAAACCATGTATACACTACACAGCATGTTGCATCAGATGCTTTGTTCAACATTTGTATGCAGCCATCAAATATACTTTTTCTTAAAATATATATATATACTTTAACTTTAGTGTTCTTCTGGCTGTGGTAATGCACTGTGAAGACGTTCCACAGAGCACATCGATGAAACCAGCCCAAATGAAGGCTGCAGAACAACAACAGTACAGGAAAAAAATATTTATATATGTACACACACACACACACACACACACACGCAGAGTTACTGGGAAGTGTAAGGGTAAGTTAATGAATTGCTGCAGTGGACATATCTCCCCATTTCAAAGATACTGGTAAAATCGAGATCTAACCACTTGGGTCCCAGACAGTTTATGAGGATGGGCATCAACTGCTGGGCTGAAGTTGTTTTTGTTCATGCTCTGATAATTTTCACCATTTACCTGGTCTGGTGGCTGAAATGGTCCCGAAGGTGGTGTTCTATTAATTAAAGTCAAGCTGCTGGAAGAGCTGCCTTCATCTGCCTGCATCTCTGCAGATGAGGGCAGCTCTACCTTTGATACCTCTGCTAAGTTAGTGTTCTCAAGTCTGGGCTTTCCAGTTTCACCCGTATTAAGGTCAGTTGTGCTAGTGCGTAAACGTTCTCGTGCAAGCCAGTCCGAGATCGAGAGGTCCTGGGCTGGACATTTTGGCTTCAACCGAGTCACAGCTGAAAGCTCAGATTCTTTCTCTCTGCTTTGACTTGGTTCTTGAGCTTTCCAAGCATTCAGGACACTTATTTCAGCAAAATCCCTCTGCCCTCCAAGTGTGTGCCTTCGCCTGATATTCTTTCTCTTTGCAGTTTCTGCAGAGTTAGCTTTTTGATTCCCAACTCCAAACATATCATCAGCAGATGATTTGAGCCGCAGCTTTAACCTGTCTGTAATCTTAAGTCTCCACGTAGGTTCTTGTTTGTCAGCCTCACTTTTGGCTGATGTAGCTAAACTGCTTGTAGATCTTCCTTTTTTCATGATGTCAAACATTTTGGTCACAGTGGGCAAGTCCTTCTCACTCTTGGCGTCCCCTGACCCCTCACTGTCCGTTTTGTGCCGTGCAGACTTTCTCCTGGAGAGCGTATCGCACTCAATGAGTTTGTGTGAGCTGAACAGTCTGCGGCTCTCTAACTTTGGCGTGGAACTTCCCTCAGTACAACTTACTTCACTTTCCTCAGAGTTCCTCCTGCTGGTCTTCACCGCTTCTGGGCCTTTCCCTTTGGACAGCCTTTCGGCAGCAGCGCTGGTGGCAAAGACAGGGAAGTCGCTTTCACTGTCCGTCTCCATGGGACGCCCTTCGCTGATCAATTCGCTTCTTTCATCATCTGCATCTTCTCCCTTGCTCTCTGTCACTGACTGCACCTCAGGGCTCAGCATACTGGCATCTAAACCAGTCAGATACATCGTAGATGAAGTAGTTGAGTAATCTGAGGTGATGGAGCTGACATCAGCTGCTAAGAACTCATTGTGTTTAATTTCAGGGCTGGCTACTTTTTTGCATGAGTATCTGTGCTGGGAAGCCTGGGAGGAAGTGCTTAGCATAGTGCCAGAGTCAGACACTGTCTCCTCGACCTGGGAAGAAGATTGTGACATAGGCATTTTTGGGCTATTCTTCTGCATGGTTTGCAGACAGTTGATATTTGATGATTTTGCACATTTTTCATTGTAAGGCAGTGAAGGTTCCTCTGTCAGGATATTTTCTTTCTTTAATGACTTCTTTTCATCCTTTACAACATTCACATCTTTTTTACTGCTGTTCTCTTTTTCCTTCAGGACAAACATCCTTTGTTTTCTCCCTATCTCTCTCTCTCTTTCATATTCCCCTTTAGCTGTGTTCTCTTTCGCTGTGTCACCACGAGATTGTTCTGCAAGCTCCTTCTTGAAAAACACATTATCCAACTCATCCTCTGAGCTACTTGGTTGTGGTTTCTCTTTAGTTTTTTTCCGCTTGCGACTAGCTGCTGCAAAAATGGAGGACACAAGCAGTTCCTTGCTATACTGATCTTTTCCAGAACCCCAAGAACCCTGTCAAAAAAAGGGAGAGGGCATAATTAAAGTCAAAAAGCCTGAAACAATTTAAAAACACACCCTAAGCTTCACAGTAGGAAGTGCATCTTCATTCAGGAAACATTTACATGCTCCTTCTGTAGTTGAAATGACATTGCCCAGTAAGTCAATTTCCTTCCTGAGCATTCCACTTTTTATCTGAGTCCCTTCCACTTAGCCAAGACTGGTTTGTGTATACTATTTAGTTTTTGACTGATTAATAAAGCAGACACCATTACAGTAAGAAAACCTTAAGACTGGCTTGCAAATGCTTCACAGATGCCTCACAATCCCTCCTCCTTTCAAGGTCCTACCTATTCAAAAAGGCTAATTGCTCCATTTTTCAGTTCATCTTTCAGAATGAGTTTGTAAATGGTGGTACCAATTAATTACTGCCAATAAAATGAATGTTACTCATAACTAGTTTAAGTGTAGAAAATTAAAAAACAAACTTCCTCATTTTAGAGGAACTTACTTTTAAAATGGCACAGAAACATTAAAAGTACAAGACACATTATTCCATTTTATGAATTAAAAACTATTTTCAATACTCTATCATTATCACCTTTCCTACTTAGAGCCTCACTGCTACAGGCAGTGTGATGAGGTATTCTGGAAATTGGGCTGTTTTGAGGAAACAGCTGAGCCACCAAACATCCTCACAGAGCAGCTGTGTTGGCATCTCCACATGATGCCAGAAGGATGCTCTGAGTGCTGTTCCCAGCTCCAAGGGGGCATCAGTGCCCCAGCTGGAATGCAGGCCAGCACAGAGCTGTGCCACGGCCTCACTGAGGGCAGCTGGGTGCTGCCTGTCAGCCTATGCTATAGACACCCAGTGTTTGAACCACAGCCCGGGAGACAAAGGCCTGTCCACATGAGGGACAAACCACGTGTGTCACATGAGGGCTTTGTCACCCAACTGGGGACTGAACCAACAGCCACGTTCCAGCCTTGTTCCCCCCCTTTGTGAGGAGCTCCTCCCCACCACAGCAACACTTCTGAGGGAGATTCTGCAGGGCAACCTTTAACCACAGCCTTTGCCTTGCTCCTAGAGGAGGAGCTGTTACCTCCTGAAGAACAGGCTGAATTCTAAGTATACTTTTCTCAGTGAAACAGAAAAACATAAATTCTCTCTGTGAGTTAGTACTATGCCAAGAACAGGGAGCATGCTATATACATTTAGTACATTTTTTAATATACATTTACCACTACTAAATAAGATGCAAAAAGGGGGTAAGGTAAGTGCTCACAATTGTGAGAGCTTGGAACAAAGCTGTTGCTGTGTGCAGCTGACTGCTCTGGTAGATGCAGCTAACTGCACACAAGTCCTTTTCCACTGATTGTAACACTTCAAAAACAGGTTATGAGAAAACAGTACTCAAGAAATTCTACATAAGCTCTATAGTACACCTGCATTATCAGTTATTTAATAAAGGAAGCATCTAACAGATTTCAGAAGCTTGTAACTATATGATATAAAAAAATTATTTACCTTAGATTTTGCTGAGTCACTAGTAGCTGAATCTGTGGAGAAATTCAAAAAAATTCTGCTCAGTTCTGTACAACTTTTTAATTGTTGCTACAGACAATGCTGGACTTATGAAAAAGACAAGCACAGAACAAGATGTGAAGCAAATTAAAACCAGAACAGAGTGAATAGTCAGAGCTCACAAAGATGCAAGCTGCACCACAGAAAGCCACCGCCATGAAAGGATGCTGTGAATTGTAGGCAGAACCAGCTCAATGATAGGAATGGCAAAGGAGCCCTGTTCTTCAAAATAAAAAACAGAAATACTAATGTTTATTCGATGCTTTAAGGTATACAGCCCCTGCAAAACCGCAGCTGAGAGACCTTTTCAGGATGGCACTGTGTACTCTCCTGAGATTCAGGATACACAAAGCAAAATTGGGGGTCTTTGTACAGTTGGCTTCCTAGCTACAAATCATTGTTCTTGTAGTCATACTCTTTTTGTGAGGTTTTAAAGGAATTAAGTTGTATTTTCTATGTAAATCCCCAATTATACATCTCTCTCCACCTCTTACTACATACAGGTAAAATTTTATTTTTAAATTGTCTAGATGTCAGCAGCTACCAGTTTTGTACTTTCCCACAAGAAGCGCTTTTATGAAATGAAAAATGGACACCATAGTTTCACTGTCTTGCAAAACCCAAGATTATACAATTATAAAGGGGGTAGGAAGGGGCTAGCACAATGACTAAAAAACATGAACTTGGGACTTTCTCCCTGGGAAGAAAGAGCTGAGCCCCCTGCCACACCCCTTTTTGACACATGGCTAATGCTTTATGACTAGAAAGACTGGTAGACCATACCATGCTATTTCTCCTCAGGGTCTGCTTCAGAGATAACAAGAAACAGCAGAAAAACTTTTAAAAAGTAGCATTGATCTGTTTAAAAGACTCTTAAAAGAAAATTTACATCACAGATCAACTTGGGTTTTTTTCCATTTACAAGAAACGGGGGTTTCTGCAGACAAGGCAGCTACAGTGTGGGCAACAGTCCTCCTTCTTCCTACAGTTCCAGTTGTCCATCAGTGACATCACAGAATCCACTAATGACATCACCGTGTGATAGACTCCTCCCACTTCGCCTGTTACAACATCAGGACAAAGTGACTGTTTCAGTAAGTGCTGAACAACCCTTTGAAAACTGAAACAAAAGCTACAGACGAGGGATAACATTCGTGGGATACAACATGCTGGGTTAGTGCAATAGAGTGAGGAGAGAAGGGAAAAAGTCACCAAAAAAGAGCCTTTAATGCTTATCCTTAGCCACAAAAGAGGATGGCACTTATAAACAGAAGGAAACCAGCTTTAGTATAAACATACTGCAACATACTAAAGTGTCCATCACTTGACAAGAAAATATAACTCAAACTTTTGCATTCCTAACGTTGGCAAGGAGCAATATTAGAACACCACTGAAGATCAGTCTTTCTGCCATCACAACAAACCACTTTATAGCAGCGTATCTGCTTGACCTCAGGATGATGATTGCATGGATACTGTGAATAAATAAAATACTATGTGCAAGCCTCATCTTTTCATGATTAAATTCCTGTTAGACAAAAAAAGTCTTCCAAATTGTATCATGCATGATTACCAACAATTCAAGTCTTTACGAAATGTTAAATGATCTTTTGGAAAAAAGGAAAACATTTTATTAGTAAAAGAAAATAGGAAGAGAGAGTTACACTGAGTTAACAGAGTAGATTATTCTAGCCTATGGATTAACACTGTCCAGGCAAGAGTTACCTGATACGTCTCCAGGAGATACTCCCGTTCTTCCAATGTTGGTGAGTAAATGATCTATGTTTGGCACTGGCTGAGATTCTACAGTGTTTTCCTCCTGAACTGCTGTCTACAGTTAATAAACAAAGATCTCTTCATCATCGTTTCACAAATAGTTCATTACGATTCAACAGCATTTAGAAAACTGCATTATTCACCTGAAGAACACGAGGAAAGCGTGTCCTATTTTCCTTTATGCTTTTAAAACAAATGCATGGCTTGCTTTTTAAAAAAAGAATAGAATTCATTACTATAAGGATTGGAAAACTATAAAGGTGCTTCTGAAGAGCAAACCATACAGTGACATAGTAAAAAATGTAATACAGGCATTCTAGAGGCAGCAGAAGCAGATTCTAAACTAAGGCAGTTAGAATACAAGTATTTATGCCGTAATACTTACAAGAGGTTCTTCAGCATCATCTTCTGTGAAAAACCAGTCATGCTAAAAGTTAAAATAAAGAAGGTGAAAACCCCACAGGAAATTCAAAACCCAAATGTGGCACAATCAAACATCGATTTTACTGAAAGTGAGATTTTGATGGATAAATACCAGACCCAAACTGGCCCAATGCGAGAAAAGCTGTCAGATCTGTGCACGATCTTATTTTTTCAATAATGAAATGCATCCACTTACTTTTTGGATGAGTGTTTCTACAATTTTATATTGGTCTGGCATGTGGGTAACCATGTGTGTCATGTTATCATCAGATGTCCTCACAAGTGTTGGACCAAATACTATTGCCAGGTTTCTTGGTTCCATCTAAGAAATGAAATATTTCCACATCATACATTTATAATGAGAAAATACAGTAATATAGGCTAAGTATATTAATACAACACTATTAAAATATATGAGAACCATTTAAAATAAAGACATGAAAGAGTTTTTTAAAAATACATGACTCAGATAGGATATTACACTACAACAAAACTCTCCTATATGCAGCTGCAATAAATATACCCAACGCTTCTGCAATTCAGAATTACAGCCTTCCTTAACCTACTGCAAGCAAATGGCTCCACAAGCACAGAAAACTCAAGAACCCAGACATATTCTTTACACTTTCAGGGGGATCTTTTCTTCTTTCCTTAAAGAAACACTGCTGCTTGGAAACACTGATGTTTTCAGAATTTTTTGTTTTGTAAAAAGGCATTGATAGTTCCCAGTTTTTCTTCTGAAAACATTTATATGACACACACACAAAATTAAGCTCGTAGTCAAATACTGTATTATATCTGCTGACAAAGACCCCATTCAATTTGCACCAACTTCAGAGGAGGTGGCAGAACAAACATCACGGACCCAAGACATCTATTTGTGAGACAGGCTCAGCATTGTGTGATCAGGTCACTACTTGAGAAGTGAATTAAGTAGATGACTAATGTTATATCTGTGACAAATAATTTCAAGAAACAACAGCAGAACTTACCTTCTATTTTTACTTACTTCTTTTAAGTTAAGAGTTTACTGTTCTGGTATAGAATAGACCAGTAATATACAGGAAGCAAAGACTTTGTGCTTACCAGAATTAAGTTGCAAACATGACACAGCTCTCTCTTGAACTGTGTCTTTTGACAAGTCACACAATTCTAACACCTCTTTGATCTAGCCTTATATATTCAACAATATTAACAGTATTTAACAATATTTATACAGCCCACCAAAACCATAAAATTATGGAGAAGCTTTCTTTAGGCACTGCACTTAAAAATGACATTTACTAATAATTTCCTTATAATACTGTCTGTAATTTCACTAAAGTTTATAATCTGTTGAATTTTTTTTAATGAACACACAAATACTTTTCTTTCATATTTAACTGGAAGGTATTATTTGCAGGACCTACCATATTCAACTGACCTTTTAAATTATTTAAGATGATTTAAATTATTTGGCCACAGGCTTTTCTATATACCATCAATTATATCAAATTTTTTCCTGTACCGTGCACATTGGTAGCCAAGCTACCACATTATCTGCCCTGAGGTAAACATCCAAAAGCACACCCATATTATAAACAGCTTTGCACTCAGCTACCCCTCCCTGAGACCTGAAAAAGGGGACACTATTATTAGCATTTACTGATGGACTACAGCATGCACAGGAGCACTTAAACCACCTATGGAAATGACAAAAAGTTACACTTAGTGGTGGAAAAAGATCCCGTAGTGATGAACTACCACCATTTATATTATGAATTTCCTTCTTACAACCAGTGAAACAGCATCTATAGGTTAATTACTCAACTAACTACAGCAAGTCCTAGTCTTAAAAATCTCCCAAGCATCCAGAAGCCAGGCTTCAAAAAAGCTAATGTGACAATGTCTGTCAGCAGGTTTATTCACCTGTGCCCTGCCCAGACACAGTCTTACTGAGATCTAGATTGGATCACAGAAAATCTAGACTTGGGATAAATTTAGGATGCAAGGAGTTAAAAAGACTGACTACCAGTCTGAATAAACTTAATTCACACTTAACGTGCATATTCTGTAGGAGTACTTAGCCTATTACAAAAATTTTCTCCACATAACAACACTCCCTAATTTCATCTACAACAATAAATTATCACCTTAATTAGAAATGATCCTGCACAAAAATAATACTTGTGTATTATATTATATATTATTATATACATTATAATACATAATAATACTAATGAGACAAACCAAAATATATGTTTCTTCCTAATACCTTGTTTTTTTCTGAGTTCTCTGCTACTGTCTTCAGGTGTGCAGAAAGAAACTTGAGAGTCTCATAATGATGTTCAGGTAAATCATGAATCTGAAACAAACAATCACTATTGAGAACACTGAACATTTAATGCTAATTTGGTAGTACACCTACAACACAACTGATTTTAGTTTACCAGTCTCTTCAGTGTTTTCAGACGCTCAACAGGATCTTCTTTTCTATTGGCATCTATAAAATCTGCATATTTGTCTGTTAAAAAAGCAGAAATTATATATGAGCTTTTAGATCTATATGTGTATGAATACAAACCCCCATCTGCCAGCCCCACTTCTCCCCTGAATACTAGTAACATACATAAAAAAATTACCTCTGGAAGTAATAAATTAGCCCATTATATTGTATGTTTTGTATGACAGTAGGGGAAGAAAAAAACAGCTTTCACTGAATACTGCAATAGTAGAAATGAAAGTTTTACTCTTTTAGTAGCATATTCATAATCCCTTCACATCACAGAAATTATATTTACACCTCTCATTCCTAAGATGATCACCATGACTTCCTACTCTTTAGGAAAGACAACATTTAATGCAGAGTGGGGATGATTTCCCTAAATTTTCTCTCAAATCATCTGAATGTTGTAAGACAACAGTTCAACTGCAATTTCTCAAGACAAAACTGTAGAGAAAACAACCCACCGTTGGTGAAGAGGGGCTCTGGGAGCTTTCGGAAGAAGGATTTCAGCAAACTGCTGATCACGTTCAGGTCACGCCATTTCTACGTGTTTAAAAGAAAAGGTCAGACATGCTTTATACTTCTATGATCACAACACAACCAAAGGTTTTGGGGATTTTAATATGAAAATAGTGTGATTAAAGACTTACATCATCATGAACATCAATGTCAGTCATTCCTTTGTTGAGCTCTTCTTGCATACTTGAGATGGCAGCATTATTTCCAGGCACTCTGTAAATACCTGTGTACTCAAGACCTCTTTCTTCAACCAGTTTGCAGCATATATCAACAATCAGTGGAATATACTGCAAAAAAAGAAGGGTTCTATAGATAAGTAAGTGATTTAAAAGGTATTTTACATTCCCAATGAAAGAAAAATTCTACTTCCATACTTTGTTGGTATGAGCTGGAGGGCAGTCATCAAGTCTAACACCAAATGTTCCAACAGCAGAAGGCTTCTTTTCAAATGTCTTCCTCATAATGCTTGGAATGCCCCTCCATGTCCCTTTGTCTTTTGGTGGGCTTGTCTCATCTTTTTGTTGTTAGGACAGTGGAAAAAAAAGAAAATAAAGAAGAAAAATAAGAACATTTATGCCACAAAACGGAATGTAAATACAGGTAACAGATTTGCAAAGAGCAAGTGATACCTGCTGCGTTTTCAGCTTTTACCAGCCTGGCTTTATGCAACAACTCATTAAACATTAATCTGTGTTAAACAGAACTTCTGTTACTCTTCTGTGGTTCAAAAGATAAATCTGAACATACTCACACCCTGGACTTAGAAAAGCAAGGAGCTGGATGCTACTGTCGCATTTCATCATTCTAAGACTAAAAGTAGATGAACTACTAAATTTAAACTTGATATTTATATAAACTACTAAAATTTTTAAAAACTGAAATCTACATTTAATATCACAACACTAAGTCTCCATGGAATCACACTGCTGAATGAAATACCCATCAGACTCTGGAGCCATGCTCACACTTGTGCAGACTTACTCATTCTTTCAGAAATTATCAGATTTTAGTCACTCCTAAGTAATTCCAAACATTACTCACTTAAAATATCCTCTGTCCAAAAATCAGGTTAAAAGTTTCTCAGTTTCTCTGTTTACCTCTCCTATAGAATTCTTGTAACAAACTGCAATTCCCATTTATCTTGCACTGCAAGTCATCTAACACAGTAAGTATTTCTTGCTTATTTCTGGAGATATTATTTCAGTAGATTTGAGGTTTACCCAACATGTGCCATGTGTAGCTTTGCAGAAGCAAAGGGACATTTTTTGGCAACAAAAACCAGAATTCACTGACAACTTAAATTCAAGACTGAATCACTCAAAAGTGGTTGCTTATCCAGTTGCCTGAATTTGTACAGAACATTTTCTAAACAACAGTCTGATGTGAAGTACTATATGTCTACACACTATGTGGGAAAAAAAAAGTAAAAAAAAATCAAAAAGAGAATAAAAAAAGAGTAGATAGCGACATTATTTGATGGAGCTCAGATACTGTTCAAGTTTGCAGTGCCAGCTCATCATACTTTTTTAGAACTCAGGAGGCATTAATTTTGTTCTGGAAAAAATAATACAAGTTCACTCCTGTGTTTTAAAAATTAATATTAAAAAAATTTGTTCTATACTTCGGAAGCATTTTAGTGGAAAAATTTACCTTACCAGTTCCGAGTCAGCAGGAGACAGAAGTATGAATTACACACATAATTATTTCCAAAGATTGACAAAATTTTGCTCTCAAGAAGCTTAACGCCTGTGTTTACTACTGTTAGCCCGACATAGAGCTGAAGGAAAAAAATCCATAAAAACTTTTTGAGAGGGAACTAAAATAAAAGTTGCAGGATCTGAGATTAAGTAGTTCCTAGAAAGGAGAAATTAAAGGTGCAGCTTAAAACCCCTGGGCTAATACTTGGTTTGCATCTGTATATTAATGAATTCAAAAATATCTGAGAAGGGCACCTAGATGGCCTTGCACTGGGGCAGAAGGGAACTAAAGAAAAACATACAGGGAAACTAAACACAAAACATACAGACCTTTAGTGAGAAGCTTCCTTTCTGTCTCATCCTTAGGAGAATGTGGACTCTGAGTCCTCTGTTCTGCTTTAGTTCCAAGTAGAGTCTGTCTGATACTCAGACTCTGGCGAGGTGTTTTGGGAGATGGCTCTGTTTTGCTGCTTGAAGAACTGAGCAAGAGAGACTACTTCAGTTGAAAGAAACTAAATAAAAACTCTACAAAGACCACTGGCACCATATAAGTCACTCACCTCATCATTGTGCTGTACTCTTTAATCCTCCGACTAATTAGATCTCTACTAGTAACACCAGTATCCTAGAAAATAAATTGAGAAATACTTTATAATCTCATAAAATAGAAAAAAAATTTCTTTCAGAATATGATTAACTCTTCTGGTAACCAAATAAGTATAGAATTCAACAATTCAGACCACTTTAAAAAAACCCAAACCCTCAACCAAACCAAACATCCTAAGAGGCAGTTCCTGAGAACAGTAAAGAAAAAACACTGAAAAACCACAAGGAAAATTAAAGTGAGTAATTACAAATCAAGTATTGGTATTTACAGAAGTTTTTTTAAAGCAGTTTGATGTAATTAATACTTAAACTGAAAGTAAGTTTAAACAGAAAAAATGCAAGTAAACGCATATTACTACCCAAAATAATCTAATCCTGTGCACACACAGTACTTAGAGAACTAATTGCTACTACAACTACAGCTGAGAAAGACATGAATTCAAATCTGCTTTTTTTTCTATCTGTGTAATATTCTGGATAATTATTTTGAATCTGAGTAGATGTGTATGGCCACAGACATAAAAATATTCCTCTGTTGCTCATCACTGCAATGAAAACACAATGGACAATATTGGGACAGGTATTGATACCTTATGTACAATAGCACCTATTTGCCTTTGGCAATAAGCACTGACTTAATTAACAGAAACATCAGCTTTTAATCAGAGAAACAGGCTTCTTCAGAGTTTCATTCTTTAACTACTGAGAAACTCTTCAAAGTGTACTACTGCAGACACTCTGCAATGCAAGTCTGAAGAGGGACCACACTGGTCCTAAACCTGCAATTATCTTTTAGAAAAGCTTAGGTATTTTTGGCAGATCAGTTTACTATAAAGTGTATCTTTACTTAAATCAGCAACAGCATTAACTAATTTATTTCAAACATCTGTTTTCTGATTATGATTACATTGATTTTTTAAAACACTATTAATTTACTCAGTATCCTTCCTTTCTTCTCATTTTCTTTTATGTTTTGTTTATGTTCCTGTTCACATTTTGGTCAACTGGTTAACTGAAAGTTAATTCGTTTGTTCAAGTTCGTTTGTTCAATCACTGTTACAAGAAAACACAACACATTTTGAATTAAAATGCAAAAACTACAGCTTCTGCTTTAAATATTATATAATCACCTCATCATTTAAGTTGCTGTTGTCTTGTATTGCTTTAATCCACGCTAACATATTATCTCTGTCCTCAGCCTGAAACAGATACTCGCGGTCTGATGTGGTGAGTCTGAACACATTCTTCCTCTTGGTTTCACAGTACGAGATGTCTATCAAGCAGGCATTGATGCTTATAGGTTGTTCTTCCTCAGAGAGGGTCACTTGTTCCTTTTTATCCTTGTACAAATAAAGGGAATGACCTCGAAGAACAACATACAGTTGCTTCCATGGCCGAATGCTCCCACCAACTCGCTGAAAAACAGCAACCAAGGTGTCACATTGCTTACTTGTTACAGTGCCCCTTTCTGGATTGCAAAACTACCTCCAGAAGTTTTACAAAGCAAAGGTATCCACCTAGCTGGCAGAAAGACAAAGTGGGATTCACTCTTGCTCTCCATGAGAGGAGTGAATTGTTCCATAACCTGCCCTCCCAGACCACCCACTGAGTGTGAGTTCACATGTGACAGTGGGTAAGAAACAGAATGAGACCATTTCTGGTCTCATATTTAGGGAGGCCATGCCTTTTCAACTGCCTCCAAGTCAGAATGGCATCTTCACACCAAGGAAATTCCAGACACTCAGTTTTCCTTAAGCATTAGTCTGTATTTGTGCAGAAGATTATTTGAACTCAACTCTGCAACATTCACAAAAATTACAACTTTTTTCATTATTAGGAAAGAGGAAAAAAAGTGCAACTACACCTATCAAGGGACTGATTCCTATTATTTAATTAGTCATTAGAAATTAGTTTAGTTCAACAGATGCTTTGAAATGTAAAATTAAAACTGTCTGGAAAGCAGTCTGTAGACAAAGCTGAGGAATTGACTGAAGTCAATTTCTAACAGATCTAAAATTTTTATGTTATTATTGATGATATTATCCCCTCCAAAAAAATAAGAAAACCTAAACAGGAAGGCCTGAAGTTTCTCATCTTAGTTTGTCACCAGCCTGGCATTTGTCCAAGGTCAAAACCCCAAACATGACAGATACCTTTCCTTTGTCTGTAAAAAGCTGTCGAAAATGGAGCCATCCTTCTTTGGAGGCATCACCAAACACCTCTGAAGAAGAATCTTTCCGGGAACCAGAGTCTTCTGAAGATTTCTGGCTGTCTGGGACCTAGAGTAAACATCACAGAAAGAATCTCACGGTGTAATTCTATAGGCATTTGCCTACAGTTCCTACATTCAAGATGTCTCTCAGTTTAAAAATGTCCCCAGGAATATGGTCCCAGGAAAACAATTTCTGAAGTTTACACACAAAAATAGTATGTAAACTTGCACATGCCTTACACATGCCAAGAATACTTTGAGAAACTTCACAAATCTTAGACATTCATTAGTGAGTTTTCACAAAAGGCCACCATGTTTAATATGCTTTGTTTACAGAGACTGAGGAAAAAGAAAATCAAGAACCATGTGATGGGTCCAGGGAAAAGCGACCATGTTTACTTTTATGATGCATACATCAGCAACTTGATCAGTAGCAATTCCAATAAATTTCCTGTCTGTTTAGCACATCACTTCATAAAACAGACCTGTATAACTCAAACCATTTGTCACAGCAGTATGGGTAATGTTTAGGAGTTGCTATATATATATATATATATATATATATTTACCTACCTTAATCCCCTTTAAACTAGATACATGCTTAATGGATCTGTGGGAAGAAAAACAAATGTTAAAATGAGATTTTAAACACTTAAAAAAACAGATGTCCAAATTAAGTTAATTTTTCCATGAACTCACGATTTTCCCTCTTCTCTGTAGTCATCCAGTCCTTCATCATATGACTTTGATCTCTCTGTTTTTGTGGCAGGCTGGCTATCCAGGACACTAGGCCGGATGGATTCTACAAAGAAATAGAAATTTTTGAGTATGTAGGAACTTGAATTACATTTTTGTGATTTATTTCAAGCAATGAAGTGTCTACAATTTTCACTCCTGATTTCCAGAGTGTGAAAGGAAAAAAGTTGCAAGAGAAAAAGAATGAAATCAACGCTCACCATGATCATGTGAAAGTTGTCGCCGAATTAAAGGGATTGGAGATGTAGGACTGGGAGGAACAGCTGTTATAGCTGGTGCTTGAGAAGCAGATGCAGAAATAACAGCAGAAGCAGGAATGTGTGCAATATCATGGTCAATACTAGGACTAGTCGGTTCATCTACAAAGGTAATATGCCATATATTAACATATTAAATGCATTAATCAAATGCTCAAATCAAATAGCTGTCCGAACTTCTCATTACTGGGATATCAGATATCTTAAACATGAAGTCATTCTAACAAACAAAAGGGTCCAATTAATTCACACTGTCAAATGTACTCTTTTTTTCATTAAGAGAAGCTTGTTTAATTTCATAGGGATGATAATTGTACATTAGAGATAAAGGCAAAAAAATCAATTTCGCTGTGTGCAAAAGAAACAGGAATTACTTGGTAATCTCTCAATATTATTTGCAAGTAGAGAATTTTTGTTTGCATGCGTAAGCAAAACCCACACTCATTGTATCAGTAAGTTTGAGCTCAAGAGACAGGTATCTACAATAAAACAGGGGCAGACTATCAAAAGCCATTTGATTTAGAGTGTTCAAATAAAACAGTCAAGTTACAAGCAAACAAAAAAAGCATTTTAAACAGCTGTCTAGCATTCAAAGAACCAATCCCCACATCCTCAGTACATTCAAATAAAGAAGCAAGTACTCAGAGCTTTAAAAGATGGGACTATTACATACCAATCAGTTCTTCCACTAATTGTTCATAGAAACGACTGCATGCCATACATGCCCAGCACCTCTCAGTCTCAATAGCCACAAGGGTCATCATGAAAGATTCCAAAAAGCTTTAAATATTCTGGTATTTAACATGTTCTTTACAAGATGGAAGAAGCCAAAAGATGCATTTTCCATCATTTTGAGAAAAGAGCCATAACATCTTGTAGAGCACATTGCTAGCACTAAAAAAATCATTCTACTTCACCCTCTGGTAGAGAAAGGGATGGAAAAGAAAAAGAATCATGAGCAGGGGCTGAACTGTACTGCTGTAATGAATATGAATGTACTCTAGGTGCTAAGAATTGTAATATGCAGAGCTACTGAAAAGCCTATTGAAACCAATGAACACTCACAGACAGAGGTTTATTCTTTGCTTTGTGCGAACACAACTGCGTGTGCTGCATTGTGCTGTTCCAACAGTCACTAACAGTTCTGTTAAGGCAGCACTTGTACCATCAAAATTTGGCAATGTACAGAACAAGGCAATAAACAAAGTACAGGATAGTTTAGCAGTAACATGCCTCTAAATTGTCTGGTGTGAAAAATGTAATAACTTTCAAAGTTAAAAAAGTGTATCCCAAAAAACCCGTCTGCAAACTAGAAATTTTAATAAAAAGGAAAAGCAACAGAATTCACACTGAACCCTGATGCTACAATTAAAAAATCTCCATGTTTTACTTCCATCCAAAGCGATAAATTAGAAGCAATTACAGGTGACTTCACGACAACAACTAGGACACAGGAAAATGTTCAGCTGTACTTTAATTTCAAACCTACAACAGCTCAATTTCCTATTTTTTTTAATGTGCTGAGCTTCCCTGAAACTAATGTTGACTAAGGAATATAATCACTCAATCACTGTGCAATTGATTGAGTTATACCACGCAGACTGAAAATGCTCAGGTTAAAGTTATTTATGTTAACAGACATATCTCAAATGTCATAGTCTCTACTCCCAAAAGTTATAAAAACACTGGAACTTGAAATAGATCTGTGCGAGCTGCGAACACAAACATATCTGGCAACACTACAGCATTTCCCACAACACTTAAATCCAAGAATTCAGAGGAGGAAGAACAGTTTGTAAATCCCTGAAAGCAACAATAATTATTCAAATCATTATTACTTCACAGTGGATCTAATTCGCAGATGAATCAAAATTAAAGTTGTTTTAGAAATATGCAAACTTTAGGGGAACTGCAAATGACATTGGTATAGGAGAGGCATAACTATGCAGTCAGTCCCTGAAGAGGCTGAAGGTCAGCCAGCAAGCTTTTATGTAATATAAAGTGATGATGGTGTAAATCATGACATACACCATAGGAGTTTCTGCCTATTAATTCAATGTGGCAAATGCCACTGCTGCTGTCCAGTAAGAAACAAAATCCAAACAACCCCACATATTCCTTGTATTCTGATCTTTCTTTCAAGTGCTTGCAATATTTGTTAACCTTTTCAGTTTCCTTGACTGACATATTTGCACCCCAAAACTCCTCACATAGCATGTGAATGGATGTGTTCAGCTCACCCATCAATGAAATGACTGTGTCCAAAAAGCAGTGAAGTGCACAGAACAAACAAGCCAGAAGAGAAACCACACAAAATAATTCTCTTTCAGTTTGCTACCTCAAATTACTGGCATCTCTTTAAATATTTGCAACAAAAAGGTCAAAGACTCCATGGAAAAGATTATTCTGGGAGGTACTGAAAAACACCTGGAGGACAATGCAGTCATTGGTCAGAGCCAGCACAGGTTCATGAAGCAAAGTCCTGCTTGTCAAACCTGATTTCCTTCTACAACAGGGTTACCCACTGATCTTGGTTTGTTGAGCCTGGAGAAGGGGACACTGAGGGGAGACCTCATTGTGGCCTTCAACATCCTCACAAGGAGAAAAGGGGCAGACACTGATCTCTTCTTTACTCTTGTGACCAGTGACAGGACTCAAGGAAACAGCACAAAGCTGAGTCAGGAGAGGTTTAGGTGGGATATCTGGAAAAGGTTCTTCACCCAGGGGGTTGCTGGGCACTGGAACAGCTCCCCAGGGAAGTGGTCACAGCACAAAGCCTGATTTGGAAGAGTTTGGACAATGCTCTTGGGCTCATGGTATGATTCTTGGGGTGTCTTGCACAAGGCCAGGAGTTATATTCTGTTATTCCAGGACTACTTTATGTTATACTTTTCGAATACAATCTGTTCTGCATTTTTATCTATGAAATGACACAAGAGACTGGCCATCAGAACCAGCACAGTGACAGAGCATCTCTGGCCAAGGGGGGGATATCACTTGCGTTTGCACGAGAGTGCAAGTGGTCAACAGTTGCAACTAATGATTTTCAGGAAGAGCCCTAAAACACAAAAACATTTATGGGGGTAAGACACTGAAAACTTGTAACATAACACAGCTCCAAACACAGATCCAACAATGGACTGATCCTCTAGCTAAAGCACAGAGACATTTGTGTATCACAGTAGGCTTGTAATGCCATGCAGCTGGAGACACAAAGATAGAGAGCATCTGCACACAATGTAGGTGAGGTGAAAAAAACCTGATACAAGTTTTATACAGAATGGGTTCAGAGGCAGAACCAGATTTCAAAACTGAGAATTTCATGGGCAAGAAAGCATGACTAACAGGACATATTGTCCCCACTATGTGAATGAATAAGTATTAACCAATTTATCAGCTACTCAAAGAAACTGACACAAAATCACTGAAAAAAAAAAGCACAGATCTGTATTATAACCTATTAAGCTGCAGCAATACAATTTTATCATGATTAGTATAGCATTCCATGTGTTTGTTTAGCCCATCTCCTGAACAGTCCCTTAAACATTAAGGTTTTAAAGGAACAACCTGAACACAAAAGGGGGCACATTTTGAGAGCCTCAAATGTTAAGTTAAACGAATCACAGAATTATTCAGGTGGAAGCAAGCCTTGGAAGGTCTCTCAGGCTCACATTCTCCACAAGGCAGTGATAATGCTGAATTCAGACCATATTGGTGAAGGCTCTTACCCAATAAGTGCCAAATAGAGGGGGAAATCTCCCTCAGTATTCTGGTTGGGTTCTTTCTTATTGATACAGACTAGGAGAGTCTAAGGCTAGTGTTGCCAAACTTAATAAGCATCTCTTATCTCCTCTCAAGGTCATGAACATGAAACAATATGGCCCTGAAGAACATCACTTGTAATCAGCCTTCAGGGAGAGCCTGAACACTTAGGCACTACCTTCAGACGCATTTCAGTGGGTTGCATGGACAGGTATGGGTTGAGCTACACTGGAGCTGTCTTAAGAGCACCCTTTTTATCCAAGCTGGTAGCGATTGTGGAGTTTGCTTTTGTTTGTTGTCGAGCTTTGGCTGCTTGGTGGTTTCTTTTTTTTTTTGTGGTGGTGGGAAAGCAAGGGAGAGAGGTGTTTAAGGCAGCTGTTTAGTTAACTGAATCATACACACATGGGAAACAAATTCACAGATAGACTTTAATACAGCCACCAGCAGGGATGCTTTAATAGGGATTATTCACAGAGAAAGGTGATTCCTCCTCCAATCCATACAGATTCAGTTTGCCAAAGCTTTTCTTCACTGGTAATAAAAAATTACTGGAAAAAAAAATAGCTTATAAAGGCTAAAATCATTCTTCACATGTATTCCCCTTCAGGCATGGCAGTCTTGCAAGCAATATTTCAATACCTCAGAAGGCCTTAGGAACAAACAGCGTTATTTAGTAAATGTTTTGCAGACCACGTTACTATTTGAAACACTAATTGGGCATCTCAATTTAAACAAACAATGTGAATATGTGGCCACAAAGCTTAATTCAACAAGTATGTATTTTATCAAAGACTACCTGATTTAAAGATTCAGATCATAAAAATGTAACAGCTGTGTAGTAATACACACTTAAAAACAGCTTTACATGTCCCATGAAGAGTGTTGAGACAGCATGCACTCCCAGAAACAAAAAAAGTTATCCAACATATAATTTCCCAAAATGCACACATTGAAGGAGATAAATGTATTTTAATATTACTGGCTTTCTAACAACTATACCAAATTCTTGGATTAGGTATTTGTTTATAAATGCTCCTGTAGTATTTAATGCAATTTTGGTTACTCAGATCTTGTGTAAATGTATCAGTGATTGGTTGTAAAAAGCCCAGCCTTCCACAGAAAGCTAGAGGTAGCTCATGCTGCTGCCTGCAAAACAAGAGTCATTAAAAACATTATTTTCATTCAACTGAGCCACAGATGTCAAGGTTCCTTATAGACTGAGATGGCATCTACCTGACAGCCATTACAGTAAGTATTTTTATAATTGCCTCTCTAGTTCTTCAGTAGTTCACTTGAACAACAGTCTGTGGCTCTGGGATGCAATTTAAGAATGAATCTTA